TTTTACCGTTATAAAAGAAATCGCATTTTAAAAACCTGAAATTTCGTATTCCCATAAAATTAATCAAAATATATGACTTGCAATACTTATACTACTTATATATACAATCACCATTTCAGTCCTCCCGAATAACTCAATTCATAATTATTAATATTGATTAAGTGAATTGAGATATTATTTTTCTTTTCGTCCCATTTACACATATTTAAATATTTTAATATTGAATTATAAATATTTATTTGTAAATAATATTAGTGTACAGATGTAAAAAGTGGAATAATTTCATATATTAGTAAAAATTTTAAAATATAATTAAAGTCAATAATCTGATTACAATTAAAGTAAGTAATAGACACACGTGATATGTTAAATATACTTATTTCATTACATACATACATACATGCGTAATTAACTGTGAATTTAACATAATTTTTTTGAATTTATTTATTTACTTATTATACGTTTTTATAACTATTTACTGCCTCACATTACAGAACAACAAAAATTTGGTAAATTTTAAATATTTATTTATAAAGTTGATAGAAAATTGTAAATGTGCTTGTAAATCAGATTTCTGTACATAAGTATATGAACAAAGCACAACTACGTATGCAATTTATTAATTTATGATATTTAATTAATTACAAATCTTATCAAAGTTACACATTACAAAAACAAGACAAATTAGAGAAAATGTCATAAATAAAACTGGTTTTCACAAATATCAGATTATTTAAAGTCCTTCGTATAAAATTTCAGCATTTTTAAGCACATATAATTTTTATACTACTTTGAGTTGGAATAATCCCCATTCTTTAATTAAAATTAACAAAAATATAGGGTTTTTGAGTAACATACTTATGTATAAAGAAACTATATTGCAGTTGTAATTGGCTCACTTTATTTTATTTTAAATATGGAATAGATCTTATAAATAGATGGTATCTATACATATGGTTTAACTCTCTTAATTGGATGAATGAATAAAAAAGCCTATAAGACAGGCAAATTCATTTAAAGATCTTGGAAAATTTTTTATTGTAGAACAATATTTCATGGTATACAAATCAGCTTATATTATTAATACTATATATATACACTAAATACTTATCATTATAATTCGTATAAACACAATTACACTCCAATTATGGGAGTTAATACGGAAAATACAGAAAATTAAATATAATTTATTTAATATTTTTTATTATACATAAATATAAATTTAGTGCATAATTTTATGAATTATATGCGAAATATTTATAATATTAACTCAACATAGCTAGTTGTCTGGCATTTTTATTTATTTAATAAGAATCACGTAATAAAACACGTGACAATAATTTTCACTTTTATATGCTCGTATATATTGCAATTTACATTTTCTTTTACCGTAAAATAAAACTATATATGTATTTTCAAGGATGATATTTAGGAGAAGGTTATTTTCAAATATATACTCAATTGTTATACAGTACGGCTTACTGTTATACAGTATAATCATTCCTTATTTCCTACAAGTATTAAATATTTGTTGAATCAATATATGTACACGTGTATTTAGTGTATATATACAAAAAAAATATTAATATTACATTCGTTAATATAATACAATAACTGTAAAAAATTAAATAATAAATGCATCTGCCTTACTTACAATATAATATATAAAATGTGATTAGTAATAGGCAAATCTAATTTTTTTTATTATTTCCCATTTTGATTACTTAACTAAATAGGCTAATTAAGAGTTTTTGTTTCAATATTTAGATAAAATTGTCTATACATTTAATTATCTTTCAATTTAGTACAAATATATATACTTATTAAATAATTCTAATTTTTTTAAATGTCACTTTAAAAAAACAAGTTTTCTAGATTAGATTTTTTTTGAGCAGAGAATTAATAGACAAAATTACTTCATAATTAAAAAATAAAAATAATCAGTCGTTCACCTTTTTTACCGATATTTTTTGAATATAAAATTAATTAATTACAATAATTTTACATATACGAGTATATGTATGTGGTTTAAATTTTGGATTTGATTTTTTCATCATTCATTATTATCTGTTATACTATTTTACCACAAGCTATTTTTCGCCACACGCAAAATGCAATACAGTATAGGTTATCTCTTAAAAACAAAAAATAACAGAATTTATATGAATGATGTTGCTTTAACTGTAATACAAAAAATCTGTAATATATAAATTACATACATATGAAGTGATAATAACAAGTAAAGCTATTACACATATTTTTAATGAGGAATATAAATATATAAGAATATACGCAGCCCACTGTACTCTATATACTAATATAAATTAGTCTGAAAGTTAGTGTAGTACAGTTTTATAAATGATAAAAATATGAGATGAATATAAAAATACTTTTGGAAATTTTAAAATTATGACTATACATTTAATATGAATATTGTAATGACGCATTTGTATGACTCTGGTAATTTTACAAGTAAAAAGAATTCAATTATTTTCCATTCAAATCATTATTTCTCGAAAAGTTTTCCTAAAATCGGCACTAATCTGTTATCTCACTTATTATACATGTTTATACAACAAAATATCTATTTATTTTAACAATATTATACTAACTATAATCGAATCCTTATTGAAATATTCAATTCGATCGTATGATAATGTTATTTTGACAATATTTTCAAGTACTATATTCTTTAAAATTTATACGGCGTCATCATAATATACAAATACTTATATTTTACAAGCTATTAGAATTGTTAACATAATAATTTAGTAAGTATTTATTGACCAATTCAAAATTTATTAGTTGATTATCAAAATTTTAATTGTTAATGCACTTAAAAATTTAATAGGAATGCATATTATTTTACCTTTTAGTACGTAAAATAAATTTAAGTATCACCGATTGAATAATCAATTAAAAATATAATTAATTAATTTAAAAAAAAAAAAAACATGAAAAAAACTTGAAATTTAATATCGAAATTTTGATAGAAAAAATGGATTACGTACAGCACAATATTAGAAAACTGTCATATTATTGCCACATTTCAAAACTTTCTGCCATATTCAACTCTACCTAGTAAGTAGAATAGTAATTGCACTCACATCGCATAGTAGTAATGTAGCTTTGCAACAAGTTCTGTAAATTTTCTGTAATGGCAAAATATTTTTAAATTCAAGGTATATAATGTAAGGTACTAAATACAAAATATTTCCACAAATAATTTGGCAATAGAACAAACCTTTATACTAAATACTTATGTATGAAAATGTAGGAAAAATGTTTAAAATTTGAATAAATGTTGATTTATGGCATTTATGACATTTATTCTTTCAACGGTAAAATAAATAACCTCTTCAATTTGAAAAATTTTAGAATATTTGAATTGTTTACATACTTACTTATAAAAATTATAACAGTATAATGATAGTAAAATCAAAGATTAGAATAACAATTAATTATTTCACATGATATAAACTTAAAATTTTGATTTTAAAATGACCTAAAGACATTTAATTAATAATTAGTCTTAATTTTAAAATTCAAAAGAAATTTTTTATAATAATTATTTAACAAAAATTTTTTAAAATTATTGTTATTAATATATAAATCAAATATTCTTTATTAAGTAAGTAAGTACTTTTTAATATTCAAATGACACAATAAAAAATTATTCGTACTTACGTACTTATAATTTTCTAATGAAAAATTTTAAAACTGGAGGGATCCAAATGAATGTATGTATGAGTTATTAAAATAGTAATTAAGATGGTAAAAGTGCCATAATATTTATGTACCGTTACGTACTAATTAGTAGTTTTGATAATGTGATGAGATTATAGAATTTTGTTAGTGAATTTACTTTAATCAAAATTTACTAAATTGACTCGAAATTGCAGAAATAACACAATAGTAAACAGTACTTCCCTTGTTTAAAGTAAACTTGAGTATTATAGCAGACAAAATATTTTAATACCAAATTTCTAACAAAATAACAATAACTAATCATTTTAAATTATATAATAACAGTAATTAATTTGATTTTATAATTTTCTTACTAAATTGTTTACTTATTTTTATATATATTTGCTTTGATTAAGCATAGTGCGTTCTACCATTATAAAATATTTGAATTTATAGAATGCATAGTTAAAATTAAAGTATACGAAGCTAAATGAAAGTAGGTACTTAATTTAATTTTAAATATTATAAGTACTTATAAATAATTTGTAAAGCTTATGCAGAATTTAACATTGCCGGTTAATTTTCCAGTTTACTGATTTTGCAGTCTTTAGTACATAACAGAAAATATAGTAAGTCTCAAGTTCTAATATGCATTTAGCTTGTCTGCTAACTGCATATATTGTAGCTTGCCGCTAATTATAATGATTACTATTGTTGCATCGTAGTTTTATAGTTTGTCTTGTACTCATGTTCTTTCCTTGTTTGTCTTTGAAAGCTTTTAAATATACTTAACGTTTATTTAAGAAAAATGTGGTTAGTTTTTACAAAAAATTTTGACATTAAAACTTTTTTATTAATTTATTTAAAAAAATAAATAGAAATTATTAATTATTTAACAAAAATGCTAAAAAAATGTTTCCTCATTGGAAATTGCCGGATTTAATTTATGGAACTTAATTGTTTATCAATAATTTTTTTTATAAATATGTAGTACTTAGTTATAATTTCAAAATAATTTTAAGTTTTTTTTTTCAAGCCTCAAAATATTAAAAATTTTAACAATAAAATTTGTTTTGCTAAAAATGTTATTGTCTTGTTTAGTAGTTAATTCTAGATTGTAGGTATTAGAAAAGCCTTAGTATACCTAATCCTACATTTAATTTGAAAAAAAAAAATTTTTTTTCTTGAAATAATTTCCTTATTAAATCAATTTTAATACCCTCTTTTAAGCGATAATATTTTTTTTTTATTACGAGCACAAAAATATATTTAAATTATTTAAAATATTTACTAATTTAATATTAAATTTTTAGACCCTTAATCGAGTTGGAGAATCTATGGGTTCACTGGGTCATCGAACTCTATTACAATATGTTGATTCAAATGATTTGTATGGCCTTAAAACATTATTAGATACACGACACATTCCGGTCGATGATCGAGATGAAGTTAGTATTTTAAAATTTTATATAATCTTTTTTTTTTAAAATATATTTAATTATTAAATATTTTATTATATATAGAATGGCACAACAATACTTATGGTTGTAGCTAGTCGTGGATTAACACAATTTGTAAGAGAGTTCTTAGCAAGAGGAGCTGATGTACAAGCAGAAGATGCAGATAATTGGTCATCACTTATATTTGCTGCCAAATATGGTCATCTTGATGTTATACAAATGCTTTTAGATCATGGAGCTGATGTTGAACACCGCGATATGGTACATTCAATTAAATATAGCCAAATATATTTTTTAATTTCTATATAAAATGCCTAACATTTGGCATTATTTTTATTAACTAAGTAATCAAAAAAAAAAAGTAGCAAGCTTTTAAAACATTTTAAGGAAAAAGTTATATTTAAAATACAAATATTATTTATATTTCTATTAGGGAGGCTGGACAGCTCTTATGTGGGCTGCATATAAAGGTCATACAAGTATAGCTGAATTATTGGTTAATAAAGGATCTGATGTTAATTGTCATGGAAATTACCATTTAAGTCCTTTATTATGGGCATCTGGAAGAGGTCACAAAGAAATTGTTCAAATTTTAGTACAACGTGGTGCTAAAGTTAATGTTGGTGATAAATATGGTACAACAGCTTTAATTTGGGCGTGTCGTAGAGGTTATTCTGAAATAGTAGAAATATTATTAAGAGCTGGAGCAAACGTGGATACAGCTGGTATGTATTCATGGACAGCGTTACTAGTAGCAACATCAGGTGGTTTCGTTGAATGCGTTTCAGCTTTATTAGAAAAAAGACCAAATATTAATGCATTAGATAAAGATGGTATGACAGCATTATCGATAGCATGTCGAGAAGGATATCAAGTAAGCTAAATAAATAATTTGATAATAAAAGCATAATTTTAATATTTTCTTTTAATTTGTCAACAAAGGAAATTGCAACCGCTTTAATGGCAAATGGGGCATATATAAATATTCAAGATCGTGCAGGTGATACACCATTAATTCATGCAGTTAAAGGTGGTCATCGCGGTGTTGTCGAAGGAATACTAAAAAAGCACGCTGATGTTGATATACAGGGAAAAGAAAGAAAAACTGCCTTATATACTGCTGTTGAAAAAGGACATACAAGTATTGTTAAGCAACTTTTAGGTTCAAATCCAGATTTGGAAGCCGCCACTAAAGACGGTGATACTGCATTGTTACGTGCTGTGCGCAATCGTAATTTAGAAATTGTTCAAATGCTGTTGGAGCGAAGAGCAAAAGTTAGTGCAAGTGATAAAAGAGGTGATACATGTCTTCATATAGCAATGAGGGCTAGATCAAAAGCAATTGTGGAAGCGCTATTAAGGAATCCGAAAAATAGTCAATTATTATATAGAGCAAATAAAGCGGGTGAAACGCCATATGCAATTGACACTAATCATCAAAAGACAATTTTAGGTCAAGTTTTTGGTGCTAGGCGACTTAATACAAACGAGGATTCAGAAGGAATGTTAGGTTATGAATTATATTCATCAGCATTGGCTGATGTACTAAGTGAACCAACTTTAACAACACCAATTACAGTTGGCTTATATGCAAAATGGGGTAGTGGGAAGAGTTTCCTGCTTACAAAATTACGTGAAGAAATGAATAATTTTGCCCGTCAATGGGCTGAACCACCAATTAAAGCAACTGGATTATTATTTTTAGTTATATTACATTTATCACTAATATTAGGTATGATAATAGGACTTGGTACCTGGTCAGCATTATGGGGTGTATTATCCGGCGTTTTATTTATAGTTATAATTTATTTGATTTTATTTTCAATTAAATATGCAAGTAATAGATATGATGTGTATTGGGCGTATTCATTTTATCATGGTATTATGAAACGCCTAGGTCGCCTTAGATTAATTTTACAAGTAGCATTTTGCCATCCACCTGGTGCGCAAAGCGATAGTCAAGCTAAACCAGTAAGATTTCATTTTGCAGAAGCAAGCAGTGCAGCACCAACTGGTGAAGGATCAGTTGGTATTATGTTAGCTTTATTATTTGAAGCTATTGAATCACATTATGGTTGGTTATCAACACGTTTATACAGAGCATTTCGTCCAAAGCCACTGAAAGTTTCATCTGGATGGCGTTATAGAAGAATGTGTTGCATACCATTAGTAATCATATTTGAGTTGGGATTTTTAACATTCGTTGCAGGTGTATCGCTGATTATTGCTTATTTTTCATTCAATCCGGACACAAACAGCGAAAATGTTTTAGTTTCGATATATGTGATTACAGCTTTGCTTGTTACTGCTATTTGTACAAATTTACATATCTTAGCGAAAGCAATTACATCTCTATTTACTTCGCAAGGTAGACATTTAAGAAAGTCTATGAAAACAAATGAAGGAGCACCATTAACTGCACTTGGAGCTGAAGTGGCTCTTATGACTGATATGGTTAAGGTAATAATTTATAAATTTTTACTTTTAGAAATTTCTATTGAAAATATTTGGTTTTTTAGTGCCTAGATGCCTTTACCAGCCAACAAAGCCGACTTGTTGGTGTTGTAGATGCTTTAGATTGCTGTGATACTGAACGTATTTTATCCGTGCTAAGTTCAATACAAACGTTACTTCAATCACCGAATCGGCCTTTTGTACTTTTAATAGCTGTAGATCCTCATGTTATAGCCAAAGCTGCAGAAGCTAATAGTCGTCGTTTGTTTACAGAAGGTGGCATAGGTGGTCATGATTTTTTGCGAAATTTGGTGCACTTGCCAGTTTATTTACAAAATTCTGGTTTACGTAAAGTACAAAGAGCTCAAATGACTGCTTTAGCCTTTAAACGTACTTATCTAGATTTTCAATCTGATGAGCCAACTTTAGGTCATTCCGCTTCAGCTCGTAGATTATCAAATGCTTCGGAAATCATGTCTAGTCAAGAAAAACTTAGGGCAAGTCATCAACCTAGTCGAGCTGGCTCCAAAAAACTACGCATGTCTGAATCAATTGCTAGTTCAATCGGTTCTAACTTGCATCGTTTGGGACAGAATCCACAGACTGGTGTGTTAGATTTATCAAAAATAATTCTAACAGATGATTATTTTAGTGATGTAAATCCTCGGAGTATGAGAAGATTAATGAATGTTATATATATTACCGGTATGATAAATTTCGATGATATTTAATTAATTGATATTTAATAATTTTTGAACTCTTTTAGTTCGACTACTGAAGGCATTCCAAATAGATTTTAGTTGGTATCGTTTAAGTTCATGGATCAATTTGACGGAACAATGGCCATTAAGAGCTAGTATGATAGTTCTTCAACATGACCAAAATGGTGATGCCTTGGATGACACAGCATCATTACAAAGTGTATATGAAAAGTAATAGGATAAACTAAACAAATTTAAAAGGCAAAATTTAATTTGTGTTTTTTTTTATAGAGTGAGACCGAAAATAAGCTGTTTAAGAGAAGCCGCACCCTTATTAGAATTGGATAGAGATGAAAGAAAATTAGATGCATTTCTGCAGTTACATAAATCAGATTTATTAGTATCTGATTTAAGAATATTTTTGCCTTTTACAATAAATTTAGATCCTTATTTACGTAAAGTGTTAAAAGAAGATCAACAAGCGTTTGAAGATGAGGGTGCACCAATAGGAATTGTAACAAAACCACAATCAGCTTCAAACGTTATTCGTTTTATGCCACCTACTGGTACTCCTTATATTCCACCAATTTATCCAACAGCAACACCATCATCTATTATGCCATACCAATTTTATAGTGATGGAAATAATTATAGTCCTGTAATGCAAATGGCTGCTTCAAATGCTGCAACAGCTGAATTTGCATATAAAAATAAAAACTTATTTAATAATTTATCTGAACCGCCTTCAGAGGCAATATTAAAAGCAATGGAATCATCATCATTCCCGGTAAGCTAAATAAAATTAATTAAATACTCAATTTATAATATTATATTAAATTAATGAATATATTATAATATTATATATCATTTAGGAGGATATATTGCAAATGAATTTATCCGAATTAACAACAGATGGAGTGATTAATTTATTAGAAAAAATTGAAGACTTAAGACCAACTATAGAAAAATTATCTCCGATATTAAAACAAAATGCAATTAATGGCAGAGTACTTAAATATTGTGATCTTAATGAATTAAAATCGGTAAGATTGAATAAAAATATCAAAACAATATGAAAACTAATTTACAAAAAAAATTTTTAAGGTATTGGAACTTAATTTTGGTCATTGGGAACTATTCCGCCTATTAATAACTATTTTAAGGGATTGTGAGAAATTTCATTCTAAAACAAAATTAAATAAACAAAAATCGATAGAGTCCAGTACTGTTATAGATATTACGGATTCAACTCCAACAGCAAGTATTGTGCCATCTGTTCCACCACCTACGCAAAGGAAATCGACGCAGATGGAAAAGCAGGTAAATTTATTTAAAACTTAACCTATAAAAGAAAAAACACAAAACTTTTAAATGATCTATAGGGGTTAAGTTTTAAAATCTCATTTTATTATTATCAAAAGGATGTTTTGAAGTGAGATTTATTAAAACCGTAAAAGTTAAGTAAAAATTTAATTAATAGATTGCAGAAATTTTAATTTGATTTAGTTTGTATATGCTAAAGAATCCTTATAAATGTGTTTAATTTTCGGTAAAAAAATTAAACAAAAGTTAAATAAAAATTTCTGCATTATTTCTTTAAACAAAAGTTTAAATATTTTCAATAAAAAATTTTAGTAAATAAGTGATAAAAAGCTCATTTCCTTATTATTTTTATACAAATTTTTTAAATGAATTAAAACATAATTTGTATTTTATATTGATAAACTTCCTCTTTAATAATTTGAAATTTGATTAGAACATTTCTAATTTTGATGTCATTAATATAATAGTAAGGAAAATGAGCTATAAATACATCTGTTTAACAACACTCCATTATCATGGTTCTCATTGTCGAATTAAGATACATATATAAAAAAAAAAACCAAAAATGCTTTTATATTTTTTTAGTTTTGTCCCAAAACATAGAAAATTTATTTTAAATTTTTTCATTCTTATATTAATAACGCAGAATAAACTTCTTGAGTACGAATACCTACAGGTAATCAATATTTATAAACAAAACAACAATATAGCATTGAAGATAATGAATGTGTAACTACAAAATTATTGCTGTTTTTATGATTTTTTGTAAATATTAAAATGATAATAGGAAAGGGATGAAAACTAAGGTTATGATGTCATTATGTCATGTAAAACACATAATTATAAAAAATAAAATTGGCCATAATCTAAAATTTTGATTTCAATTTTTTTCTTTTTATTTGCTCTATTTTAAGCTAAAATTCATGTTATAAATCAATTATGCTTTTTAAAATATATTTTTTAAATGAAAATAATAAAATATTCAATGTGTATGATCAATTTTTTTTTTAATTTAAATATTCAATAATTTAAATATTAATATTTTTTAATTTTTAATTAAAATAACATTATTTTATAGTTAGAAAACTTATTCAAACAAAAGTTGATCATGTACAGAGATACAATAATACAATATTTTTCCAATTTAGTTTTATTACTACAACATCTAATAGAAACTAACTTTTGTTGAGTAATATATTTTATATTAAAAAAAAATCTATGTGAGACGATACTTAAGTTAAAAAAATACATAGTCCTTAGTTAAATTTACATCAATGTTTTGCAAAATAATTCAATTTTTCAAATTCCTTTTCAATTTACATATATTCTCCTCTTTTTTTTTTGTGATTAAAGAATTTTAATTTTGCATGTTTTTTTGTAACAAAAGAACATGCGAACAAATGTCTTTCGTAACCAAAGAGTTTTGCATGTTCTTTGAATATCATCTACAATTCCTAATAACTATTTACAAATTTATAATGTTAACGAAACATTTATGTAAAATTATGGGTTTTTTTTTATTTACTTTTCATTACTTTGTTGTAATTTATAGTTTCTCTTGTACCTTTTTATAAGATTTAATTAAAATGAAATTTAAAAAATAATTAAGTTTCTAATTATTTTCTTTTACTTAATATATTACTTGTATTTTACAAGATTATCTAATTCTTTTCGAATTCTATTGTTTTATAAGGAAATTCTAGATACACTACATGGTTACATACACATACAAGTCTTATAGCACTATAAATATTTCAAATTTTGAATTTCAATGTTTTTACTTTGAATTTAGATTTTCGTTTTTATAATTATTGATGTTGTTATACAATTGGTGTTTTATATATTTCATAAATAATAAAATTACATTATGTGATAATAATTCCACTATATATATTATTTATACATTATTTGCGTTAATATTTAAATTTATATACGAATATTATTTAAATGTAAGCTCTTTATATTACTCCAAAATTGAAAATTTTCAGTTTTCAATTTAAAAATGTTGTACCTTATGTTTTCTCGTTGCGAGAACATTTATCAATCTTTACTATTATTAAAATGTACATAAAATGTAGATATATAATTTGTTATAATTACTGAAAATTTAACTTTAATTAACTGGAAAAAAAAATAGCGTTTACTTGATATGTTTCTATTTTTTTAATATGATCACTAAGAATTAATTTTTGAAGCACTATATAATTAAAATACTGAAAAATCTTTTATATTTTTGAATTACTAAAAATCCACGTAAAATTAATTAAAATAAAATTTAATTAAATAATTTGTTTTGAGATTTATATGACAAGAACCCCATACTTATACTTATGATAGAATAAACTTGTTTTTATTTTTTATATTTCTTAATTTTAAACGATTCCTATTAATCGAATTAAAAAATACAATATAATATACTTATATATTTTTAATATAATCCCTTGCATTGCAAGTATGTATTTGAAAATTACGTACTATTTCTTGTAGATAATATGGATGATCAGTTTTCGTTTTCTATTCATTATAATCATATTTTTTTTTTTTTTGTTTTATGTTGTAAAAAATTATGGATTTTTGCGTATTTTTAATATTCAAATTTTTTTTAAATATATTAATTTTAGGTTACATTAGAAGAACAAATGATTGTTGGAGCATTATCAACATTAAATGAAGATGCTTATGAAGATGTTACAAACAGTGATAGACCGAGCCCATCTGGATTATCATCAGGTGAGATGTTATTAGCACAACATTTAGCACCAATTCGAGAATCTTCTGAGTTTGGTTCACCAATGGATGATAATAATTCTTTGCGCAATCATCATCATAACACTATTAATTCTACTATAAATGATAATACACATTTTAATTTATTACATGCAAATCATATTCATGCTAATAATAGTATTCAAATTAAAGATAACATTATGCTTAAAAGTAATAATAGTTTATTAAGAAATGGTGGTAGTCCAACTACAATATCAACTACAACATCATCAACTACAACAGGAACAATATTATTATCTAATACATCAACTACTTCAACGCCAAATAAAGCAATATCTACTACAGCTGCTTTATCAGCTAAATCAGATGACAGTAACAATAGTCCGAGACAGACTGTTATTGTTATGCCATCTGATTGTAATGTATTTGATGATACTAGATTGTAAAATAACATTATTGAATTTTAAAAGAAAAAAACAAAAAAAAACAAAATACTAAAAAAATATTGATTTTTGTAGATAAAATATAGACATAAAATAATTATATCTCAAATATCATTAATTTTAATTCAAAACTCAAAAGGCATTTGGATTTTAAAATTTAAATAACGTTGTATCTGGTTTTATATTAGATAATTACCTCTTTTCTTTTTTTTATTATTATTTATTTTTCACTTTTTATTTATGAAGAAGTTCATCAAGAATTCATTTATTATAAAATATTATAAACTTATTTATATTCTTTATTATAAATTTATTATTATTATTAGTATTATAACATTTTTGAAAAAAACTTAATATATTTAAATTAAGGAAATTTCGTTATTCATTCCATTGTTTATAATTTAACAAATAGTTATTTTGTAAGTAATTACTTACATTTGTCCCATGTGAGCATTATTTTTCTATATTGATTCGGTTTAGTGGTTTTCAAATAACCAATATAAAGTTATTAAAAGCAATATTAAAAGCTATTGTTTGAAATATTAATTTAAATAAGTTTGGATCCAACTGTTTAACAATACGTTTTAACTCATTTATTAAATTACTTATATTCATTTAATTTCATACAAGTACCACTTTATTATTATTTATTATAAAAAATGAATTCTTGAAATTATAATTACTTTTTTTAATATATTTATTTTATTATTGGAAAAAATTTTCATGTTTGTTTGCCCAGTATTTTATTTATTAAACTTTTTTATTCTTTATTATTATTCTTAAGTAAACATTAAATATTATGTATATCGATAGGAGGTTTTCCTATTTTAGTTTTCTAATAATCTTTACCGTCTTGATATAATCGAAATACTTTTTTTATAAGATTCAAGCATATATAAAAGTTACTAACTATTTATAAAGTATAAAATGTTAACTAATTATTGTTCCTATAAATTGCAAAAGAAAACAAAATTTTGTATTAATTAAATAATGTTTTTCACTTTATTGCATTAAAATTCATTTATTTTATTTCATTGTATATCTTTTGAACCTTATAAAATACATTTTTCAATTTAGTTTAGAGTTATATCAAAACGGCAAAAGATAATATTTTGGATTTTAACAATATTAAGTGGGTTTTACATGCTATTTTATTTTAATTTTTGTTTATTTTCTTTTTTTTTTTACTAACAGTAGCATTAAGTAACAAATTTTTTTTTCTTACGTAAATAATATTTATCTACCCCAAATAATTTAGCAAATTGATTTTGATATAATTGAAAAAGACTCGATTTAAAAAACTGGACTTTATTTTGAAAAAAAGTTTTGTATATAAAATTTCTTGACAGATTACTTGATCTTATTTTTTCGGTATAAGCTGTAATGTTAATTTCTTTTACATTTTTTTAATTCATCTATATATTTTTTGTCGTTTTGTAATAATATTTTTTTATACGAATTCGAGTTTATAAACTATTATATTTAAAATATATAAATGTAGGTACATATTTTTATCAAAAACCAATATAAAATTAAAGAGAAAAACCTTTTGATATTTTTTTTTATACTGCTAAAACTTTTTAAAAGTTTGTACATGTAGAAAGAAATAGTCAATTACAATTTTAACTTTCAAGTCAAAATCAATTTGCATTTCATGGAAATTATATTATTAAAAAAATATAATCATAGAAAAATTAAATTTTATTTATTTTATGGTATAACTAAAAAAACTGTATATAAACTTAAAAAAAAAACATTATCATAGAAATTTTTAATTAAACAAATCTTAAAATTGGGTCTCAAAAAGAAAAAAAAGACAGAAAATCTGAAAGATTTATAAAAAAAAAAAATTCACAATGTAATAAACTAACATTAATATAATTTTGTGGTGATTTTACAAAAAAAATACAAAAAAAAAAAATGTTTGGAACTAACAATAACTGTAAGAAGCATGTGCCAAAACTAGATAAGTTACAAAAAAAACAAATTTCAGTATGATTATTTTCTGATTAAATAATATTTAATTTTATTGAAATTTTCATTGATTTTGAGAGGTCGTCGAATAAAAATACCAGCAAATAATAGCTTTGATTATTAATGTTTTATGATTGGAAAAGGTCTCCTTCCTATTTTTTTTTTTGTTTAAACATAAAAATTATTTTATTAATACCAGCTGATCATAAACTGTATGTGTGTAGATTTTCACACTAATTTTTAATAAATTATAATTAATAAAAGAAAATCACTTCAAATCCTAAGTCTTCCAAAATTAATATAAGATGTAAAAAAAAGTGCCTACTTTTGCCGCAACATCTGAGCAGTTAATAAATAAGAAAACAAAAACAATTTTTTTAACCTTTTAAAAGCACTAATATAAATTATGAATATGTTTTTTTTTAAACATGCCTTTGGTTCCTGAATATTTTTCTTAAATTAATTAAAAATTTACATATATACATGTTTACATAAGTATATGTTATATTCTATTGGCTCTATATGTTTTCTAAATTGTATTGGGTGTTGGTGGAAAATTGGAAATTTTAAAAAGTTTTATAACGCTAAATAAAGAAACTGACAAAATAATTACAATTTTTGAAAGTAATTTTATTTTCTATTAAAATTATTGTATTTTGCTAAAAATTAGTTTATAATTATTTTAAAAAATATAAGTATATATTTTTAATATTGTGTATTATTTCAGTACACAAGCTTTCTTTCATAGAATGCACATACATTAATAATTTAAATAATAAGCTTGTATTTCATTTTCAATTAATATCTTTGTTAAAATATAATTTTAACACAATTAAATTCAATTGGTTTTGTTAAAAATCGATTCGGAGCACATATTAATCAAAAATTCGTACTGTTTTTAGTGTTTCGTTATTATTGTCTTTTGAATTATGTTCTTTTTTTGTAACTATTCTGTTTTGTCATATGCTTTAATTCATGTTTTGTAATGAATAACTTGCATGGATATTTCTTTTTTTTTTTTTTTGTAATTAGAAATAAATAAAATACAAAATGGCGTAGATACTTACATTATATTGGATTTAGAATTGATTTATTGATTACTAAAAAAAAAAAAAAAAACAAAATAATATTAAAAATAAAATCTTTTTAAAATGAAATTTTATGATTGTTTTGAATTTTTGAAGTTACTTTATTTTTAAATTCTTTAATTTTGCACTACTTTTTGGCTTAAAATAATAATAATTTTATTTAATAAATGAGTTTTTGAGAATATACTATAATTAATAAATTTTATTTTGTATACATATAGAATATTCAAAATATTTTTTGAAATACATAATTATAATTTACTATAAGATGAAACTGGTGACGTTTTCAAGATGATCTCAAATGCTAATTGATTTGCACACGTATTAATAAAATTATTCCAAAAAAAATAAAGAAATCACAAGAATCTTAAGCACTTCAAATTATTTGAAAGCACATTCAAACATCTCTTTATTTACCAGTTAAAATATTTGATGTACTAAAAAAATTAATTGTTGTTTTTATTAAAAAAAAATCAACAACTTAATTGCTTAAAATGTTCAAACTTGAATTTTTTACTTTCCTCTGTTTTTGTTTATTCTTAAACAAAAATATTTTTTAAAATAATCTATGTTTGAATTATAAAAAATAAAAACAACTACCATTTGTTAACTTCTTATAAAAACTATATTATTTATATGATTAACATTCACTCTGTGTCCTGAATATTTAAAATGATGTTAACTTAGTTTTACTTTATTATATTTATAGCAAAAAAAGAACTAATACTGGGTGTAGGACCGGGTAAATTTTTATTTTAACCAATTTATTTTGTGTATTATACATTTTACTTAAGTGTACAAATGTATTTCTAATATTTTAAAATTTGATATTAATGCAAATTATATTTATATATTTATTTTTTTTTTTTTTTCAAAACTTTTAGAGAGTATAATGATAAATTTACCAACAACTGTTAGTAGTGGTAGACCACCAATTCCAAATTCTCCATCAACAGCCCGTAGAGATTCAATTTTAAAACAAGGACCAACAAGCATATATAAACCAGAACGAAGAGTATCAATTAAACAAGATAATTTAGCAATTAATAAAAATATCGCTCATTTAGAATATTTATATGAAAAACCTGAAAATTTTGAACGTTGTAGATCTTTATCAGCTGGTTCTGGAGGTAAAAAACTTAATTTTGTTATAAAAAAATTTTTTACAAAACAAATATAAATTAAAGATAACTAATATTTATTTTTAATTTTAGCTGTTCGCCCTAATACACTTTTATTAAATAAAAATGAAAGAACACATTTCAAATTAATGAGATCATCGTCAGTAGATTATGATGATGCTGAAACAAATCCAACAAAAACTGCTGAAGTAGAAGAAGATGAAAATGCCCCATTAGTATTTACTATTGTCAAAGGAAATAAATAATAGCAACAAAAAAAAAATTTAGAAATTATTTTAATATTTATATATAAAAAAGTTAACAAATGCAATAATGTAAATACAAAAAAAAAAGAAAAGAGAACAAAATTTTTTAAGTTAAAATAGTTTTTTTTTTACAAATATACTTAATATTTAAAACATAAATTCTAAATTTTTATTTACTATGAATTTTTCTTATTAATTTTATTATAATCGATCGAAATTTATTTTGAACAAATTAATACGGAATAAGATTTAAAAATTTACAGCCAACGTTAACCTTCTGAGTATGATAATCTAGTGCAGCTTTTAAAATTAATTTAATTTATATTTAATTCAAATTTGAATTCAAATTTTATTTAAAATATAATAACTACATCGTGTAATTTTATAATTTTATTATGTATTTATAAAATTGACACTATACAAGAAGGCCAAACAATATTATATTCTTTGAATATACAATTGAGGGATTTAATCTTCAAGAATAGCGACCAAAATTGGTGGCAGTACTGTGGAACCAATAACAGTAGTTATTTGATTCTGTATATCTCATTTGTAATTTGCACAAATTAATTAGTTTATATTTACGCTAATGATATCGGAACTTTTACGATGAATATTCATTATCATTAAGTGATTTGTCTCTCAGAATAATGGCATTAATCGTTGAAAAACATTCCGAAATTTTACCTATGAATATTTTCAAATGGTAATTCAATTTCAAATATCTAATCTAACAATTTTTATTGGTAAGATGAAAAATTTACTTTTTAGAAAAAGATGACTCTGAAACATTAATAAGCTTATGGCGATATTACAAATCGAATCTTGGAATATGTATTTTGTTAATATGAAATGCAAATTCTTTGGCTGTACGTTTAATGTGTGTGTATAAAATTAATTCAACTTGTGTAATTAAAAAATTTCTTTACTTCATAAATAATGTAAACTTCTATTTATATATTTTAACCTAATTGTCAACAGTCTATAATTAAATTCCTACATGCTAACATATTATGTATGTATATACTATGCACTTACAAATTTGCATTATGCATAACAGAAGACCATTTGGGAAAAAAATTTTCACCCTGGCCTTGAATCTTGACATGAAAGGGTAACTATATACTTATATATATTTTTTTATATATTTTTAATTTATATAATGTACACATGTATTTTATACTATTTCCATGTTCTCACACTTGTAACATTTTTCCATTCTTTGTTTTCATCATTGTGAATATTCTCAATAGTCGATGTAAACAAAAAACACATGTTTTATAGTGTTGTGTTTGTGTTTAGTTTTATTTTCACTTTTATAGCAATATTTTATCAATGAAATCTATTATTAAATAATAATATAAGTATATTCATACGTATATATATATATACATAATAGTTAAATATACGTACATATATATGTAGTAATATGTAAAGTTGCATATACAAATAATAAATAATAAACAAAAATCATATGATTTTAAGCTTTTATTTGACATTTCGAATTTACTTTTTTTAACTTTCAAAAATTAAGAAAAAGTTTCTTAAATATTTTTCATTTAATTTTATTTCACTTGTTTGTTTATGTTTGTATACTTTCATATATGTATAATATAATATGCATTAAGAACTTAATGTAAAGTAAATTTGGAACAATCTTTTAGTTTGTCTTGTGAATTGAAACCTGTCAGATATAAATGAAAAAACAAACATAGAAAAAAATTAAATTATTAGAAAAATTTTCGAAAAAAGGTCACCTTGAAAATTTTTTTTCTTAATTTTCAAGTCAATTTTTATACATTTTTTTTGTTAAATTATTAAATTTTATAGTGGCAAAAAAAAACAAAATATATTATTTAAATTTGTAAAAATCTTGAAATGAACGTAAAAATTTACTTTGAAAAGATTATTTTTATGAAATTTCGAAAATATAAAATTGTGAATATTGTTATATAAATTTTGTTTAAGAAAAAGTTCTATAGAATTTGCTAAATTCGAAATAATTTTATTAATAATAAAAGATTGTTAATTAATATACTTAATACTTAATAAAGTGAAAATTCTTAAAAGAACTGAGGATTAAGCGCACAATTTTCAGTCTGTCTATTGTGTTCATCTATAACCTACAACAACCATACTGCCGATAATAATAGATAACAAATGTTGTATTGGTTTAATATAACAGATGTATTAGTTTAATATAACAGTGCTGACACATTTTAATGAAAAAAAAATTAAGAGAATTTAAATTGTTACAAAGAAGTACAAATTTTTATACTTTCATACATATAAACAGCCGTGCCCTTTCAATTCAACTGATCAACTACCTATTTATATTAAGTAAGTAACTTGCTACTGTGAATTACATACATATGTACATGTGTGTATTTAAAATAAAAAATATAAGTACAACGTTCCCACTTGGATACAATTGTATCCATTTGGATACATTTTTGCTTTAAATTTGAGCTTGGATACAAAGATACTCAAATCTGCTAAAATGTCGAATTTGGCTACATTTGAAAATTTTGCTGAAATATGGCTACATTTTTTTTTTCAAACACTAAATAAATATTACAAAACAGTTAAAATGCTGGTGATATTTAATCGTGATTGTTGATTTATTTTCAAAAAAAGGTTATTTGCTGCCTTTTCTAAGCAGGTTTCCGAATTTTTTAGAAGAAAGTAAAAAAGATACTTTATTAACTGCCTATTCCTGTATTCAAATCTAACATTTATACAAGAACGTACCAGAAATATTTTAGTGTAAGCTAGGTGTTATAGAAAATGCATTGGCCGTACATATTTTTTAAAATTTGTCCGTTTTCATGGTGAATCATCTTTACAGCATAGTCCAACAACTGCAAAGCATAGACGTATGTTTTTTCTTTCCTTAACTTTTACATGTAAAATGTAATAAAAGTTGTATGTGCTTTCTTTACTAAAATTTATTAAAAAAAAATAAAACTTATGTTGTGGAATAAAGCAAATTAATTTCAATTATGGGTTAATTTGTACAGAATAAGACAACTTAGTATTTAAGTTTAGACCATTTTAAGAGGTTGGATACATTTTGGATACATTTTTTTCTCGAAATTGGATACATTTTGTTTTTACCGAGTGGGAACACTGTATAAGTACCTATCTATGAATACATATGTACATTTGTTATTCAAATTATTTAAAATGTATATATCAACAAATTTAAAATTAACTAAGCATTTAATACCTATACATACAAACATAGTTCAATTTGTGCATTTACATAGTTTTACAGCAATTCATAGTAGAAATTATACATTTCAATAAGTATAGGGATACTATATACATATATTTATATATAAAAGTTTTCATAGTCTTTGAAGAATATTCATGAACTGTAAATTCTTAAGTAATTCAAGTTCGATTATCATTGATGAGGTCTTGAACATAATATACTATTCTACTACCAATTTACGTATCTCTGTGTGTAGGTACTGTATGATTACTTTCGTATGATAGGTATTCTAAATTTACTATTCGTTTTGAAATACCAAAATATAACAATTTTATTTGTGGCCTGTGGTTATACGCACAATAGATTACAATACATTGGTATTGTACAATTTTAAAAAACATAAAAAAGGAAAATTTTCGAAATTGGTAGGTAATTTTTAAATTGTCAAATTAAATATCAATAGTGAACTTGTATACTTATTCATATTTTAAATAAGTAGTACATAAATGCTATAGTGACATTAGTACATAAGGTAATTATTACATAGTTATTTCGGATTCAAGAATTCTTCAATAAGTAATAAGTATTGTAAGATATCAAAATGTTTATTAAAATTGCCGACCTAATTTCAATTTGTTTATTTTTTGACGACAGGAATATGCCTATGTATTGTTACGAAATGCAATTTTCTGTGGAATAAATTCAAAATATGTAAAAGAGATTAATTAATTATATATTCAATAAAATGTAGATTAAAAAAATTATATTCTATGAGTACCATGCTTAAAATTGGTAGGTACAACTAAATTATACGATATGAGTTTTTTTGTAATCAAATTGTACGATTGTTAAAACAATTTTTTTTTTAAATAGATTGTCCATGCTTAGCTCCTTGATAGTATACGGTACTTGAAAACGATATTTGTTGCATTTTTTTTCTTAAATTTGTACAAAAGAAATATCGTTACAGTAAACAAGAATTTCATAAAATTTCGTTATTAATTACTTATTACATATTTGCTTTTGTTTTTAGACAAATCCCAATTGCTTTGTCAATAGCAACCCTGGCTATTAAATAAAATGGAAGCGTCCTTTCTTCTTTTTGTATTTTTGAGTTCTTAAGATTGCCTTGAACTGAAATGATTTTGTTTAAATACTTTTACGAGTATAATAAGGGTTTAATATTACTTACTCTTCTTTGAATTTTCGTGTATAAGCGGTTTTTCACATCACATCTTAGAACCGGTTCAGAAAATCACATAAACTAAAATTAAATAAGAATTCTTGAATTTTATATAAGTATTTGTTTTTTTTTTTTCAATTTTAACTTATTTACATATGTACATGTATGTATATGTATGTAAAATGGTGTAATAAACAAAAATTGATAAAAAATGGATATTTTTTCTTTTATTCGGCCTAAGGAAAACTTCGCTGAGATAATAGTGTAAAATATTAGAGGAAAAAGTAACAAATTAGCTTATTGGACACAAATAATTTATGCAACTTATTACAACTACTTATAGTACTCAATTATTTTTTTAAATGAAAGAAATTTGAACATAATATACTTAGACTCTAATAAATATCTTATAATAAGAAAGTGAGAACATACCTACGTAATAGCTGATATACATATGTACATACACATTTGATATTTTTGGAATATAAAAAATTTGTTTAGGTCAACTGAAAGACATTTTCTGATTAAAAGCATAGATTTTTATTAAAATTAAAATTTATATTTATAGTATGAAAACATAACAATATGTATGGTAAGAAATAATATACACAAATATGTATGTATATATATACATTTTAATAATTTTAATCATTGAATCAGATTCTTAATGTTATAATGTGTACATTTGTGTATAATGGCTACCTATATTTACAATATTCTGTTTAGTATTAATTTTAAATGATTAAGTATATATTTCTTATTAAAACAGAACATACTTATTTACATACATTAATATACTTACATACTTACATATATATATGTATATTATACACATATTATGTGCATAAGTAATAATTGAGTATTTGACTTTGTAATTTTGATTAGTTGAAATGATCAAGGAAGCGTTCCATAATTTGGCAATCAGTTTAATTATGTATAACTTGGTACAGTTTAATTTTCTGTTATATGCAGATATTCTTTACTTAAGTAGTATCGGTACAATTTAACTGATTGGATTTACATTATTCTATATTGATATAAGATTATGCTGAAATAATTGCGGCTGAAATTTAATTTCTTTTTCGGGTTGGTAATGCTGAAAAATATTATTTAAATAATTGATAGGATTTAGAATATGGAGGTACTTAATAAAATTCATCTAAAATTTTTAAATTAGACTACATGTGAATATATGTAAAAAATTACATAAGTATGTGTAATTCAAACGCTACCCTAGAGGATCATAAGGGGCTTATTCTGAGTATATCGAATCACTAAGTGATTGTAGTGATAGTGATAATTATCGTAAAAAGTTCAATGTTATTATTGTAAATACAAACCAACTTACATACATATATACAAATGATTCGTGTCTATAATAAATTTTTTGAAACTTTTACGATAAATATCACTATATCTTAGTGATTCGATATTCACAATAAGCCTCATTATGCTTATTACTTAATTATATGAATTCATTTTGAAAAAAACCAAACTGTTATTGCACAATTTTAATAATACTAGATTATTTTATATTTATACTCATATACACATAATATATAAATATATATAGATATGTATGTCAAATTAAATTGTCATTAATTTTAGTAGACAAAAAACATTTTCATGATATGGCGGCGGCAAGTAATAAACCTACAAAAAAATATAAATAGATTTTGTGCTTATTATAATATTTCTAAAATCTAAATTACCTAAGTATGTGCGTTATGTATGTATGTATATAAGAAAATAAGTAATTATTTCGCATTTTTACGATCTAATTCCAATGTCTTTAACACATCACACAATTGACATAATTTTCTTTATTTGTTGTTTTTTATTATTTTGTTTTGCATTTCAACTTGACGTATTAAAATTAAATTCATTAAATTTAAAATTAGCTTTTAATTGAGAATATCAATGATCAAGTTCGTAAAAAAAAAACAAAAAAAAAATGAAACAATTTCAAATGGCATTCCTTATATTTTTATAATTTTGTTTGTTTATTTACGAAAACAATATGAGATAAGGAAAATTGCTTACAAAAATTCCATTAAAATTATTTTAAAAATAAATATTTTATGTTTAATGTAAAATTAAATAAATAAATAAAATAATTTAACGAATTAATTATAATAAGTTTTAAGGAAATATTAATAATTTTCAATAATTTATGATGTTTATTATTGCTAAATGGATTTTTAAAATTGAAATGCAATTATAATTGCCCACCTACTAATATAATATAGATTAAACATTTTTTCACTCGTAATTGCACTTAAATTCGGATTGTCAGTGAGCTGAATTCATTTTTCAGGTTCTTGATAAATTGGACAGACAAACTTATTATACATCTATCTACGTTTATAAATTTCAAAAATGTACTTATTAAATGTACTGGTCCTTTAACTGAAGGATCGCTCAGGTTCAAATAATCTTGAATATATAATATAATCAAAAAACTACGGTAGGTTCATTATCTACCTAGTAAACTCAATGACGTCAGGCACTCGTTCATGTTTGTTTACTATAGTTATGCCCTATGCCCCCCTTGGGAGCGAAGTAGGATGAAAAAAAAAACATATTAAATAATTCATTTTTCCGGATAAACTTTTTTCTCTCGGATATAAAAAACTCAATTTTTATTTTTTTTTTATTCTTTTAAAGAGAAAATAAAGAAAAAATTAAATTTTATTTGAAAATTTTTGAAGACCAAAACCTCCTGTTACTGCTCTTGTATGTGTCGTAACACTGTTGTGTTTTAATTTGAATTGAACAATTATACCCAATTACCAATTGAAAACACAGTTTTTTTCATCAAAAAGCGTAATATATTTAGAAAGACAGTAGATATATAACGCCAGCTTCTCAGAGAAAACTTTCTTTTGCGAAAAAATTAATTCTGAACAATAAATCTGAAAATAATATATGAAAATCTGTACGTCTGACAACCCTAACTTAATGATTAAAGAACAGAGTGAAGAATTTAATAGAATTAGAATTATGGTTAAAAAATTATTTGAAAAGCAAAAGGGCTCTTTTCTTAAAACTGGATTGTGTAGGATCACCTGATGGATGTATGTATGTATTTCAGCTAAGATTATTATGCCGCGCATAAAATTCACAGCACTATTGTGAATTAATAATAAATTTAAAAAAAAAAACAAACTTTTAGATTATCTATAATGCATTATTAATCATTTAATTATTAAATAATTTTTAATTTAATTTATTTTAATGGTTGATAATATTATTATTATAATTTTTTTTTTCCATCACGCACTCAACAGTTTGCCAATTTTCTCATCAACCTAGAAATCAAAGAGCAAAGAGATAAGACTTATGTGCTTATACAGGCTTACAATAAATTGTAAATTAAAAAAATGTTATAATTTTTAGTGTTATACATATTATAATTACAGTGTTGTTAATTTTACTACAATTGTAGTTTTTTACTATATTTTAGTATTTTGTACTACTGTTTTTACTTCTTTTTTGCATTTATACCAGAAAATGTCATTATTTGAATTCGTTTATAAAAATTATTTAACAACTTACTGTAAAAACCGCTTGTACAACAACAATTGTTGAAAAAATTAAATTTAGAACTTTGTTTGAAAAACGTTACCGCCGAAAAAAAACGTCTAACCTTGAAATTTCAAATTGTGGAAAACTCGCAGTTGCCATTTTCAATATGAAGTATGAACGCGAAATCTTAAAAGGGGGAATATTAAAGACTTAAGTTTATTAATATTTGTTTTGGATTAATTCCGTTACTTTTTGTTCGGTGTAAATGTTAACCCCAAATTACTATACGCTAAAATTCTCGACACTACTTTTTTTTTTGAGACAAAAGGCTACTGAAAAACAAGTTGAAACTAACAACACTGATTTTAAATACGTTTTACTTTTGATAATTTTGAAACAACAGAAAATAAGAAACAATAGAATTTGTGAATACTTACATATATACATATAACAGATTTTTATCTTAATCAGTTTATTGAAAATTAATTTTCATTTTTAAAAATTTTTTTTAAACAGTTGTTTTAGAGTTTTAGAAGGGAAAAGGTCTTTTTTCCAATTTCTTTAATTACCCTTGAAAATTTTCTTAAAACTTTTTTAATTTTATTTTTTTTTTTTTGACAAAGAAAAGGAAATTAGTTTTTTAAATATTTTTTTTTTAATTGAATTAACAAAATCCATGAATTTCCTAATGAACTCATAAGAAGTGCAAAAAATTTAAAATAATAATAAATTTTGTAAAATTTATGAAAAAAAAAAAAAATAAATGTCGTATCGAGAAATGATAATTAAATATTTATTTCGTTTTTTATATATTTGTAAAACAGTTTTGTCTAAAATTATAATATTTTGTTGTAATGATATTTTATTAATTCGACTAACATTATCAAGTATAAAATTCATAATGGGAAATGCAATTAAATTTAATTCGGTATGTTAAAATGCAATTTAATTTTTTTGTAATTAAGATGTTGAATGAAAAATGGGTGAAAATTTTATTATTCCAAAATTAAAAAAGATGATAAGAAATCTAATTATAAGATTATAATTAGTTTTAAATTAGATGTAGCCAGCAAATGTAATTATTAGAAAAGGATCATTCTTAAAAAATCATTCCTATATACAAGTGGCTCTCTAGAAATTTTAAATTCTTATTTTTTAATTTATTCTAAAACTCATACGCTAGCAACCACAGAAATGTAATTTTATAACTTATTGTGTGGTAACTAGCTTTCAAATTTAATTAACAACTATTAGAAATTTACATTGTACGCCTAATCACAGGAAAATTATTTGTAAATATAATTATACATATAATATTATTTAAAATATTTTAATAAAAAATATTTTAAATATTCAATGTGCGTTGAAAAAAACTGCAGCACTTTTATTTCTGCTAACAGTAGTTTTTGTTAATAAATTTTAAATATTTATAAAAGTTTTAAAATATTAACAAGACTTTGGAGTCTCTTGTCTCTTTTGAGAGAATTATTGATATTATTACAGTATTAATAAGTTTACGGTTAGAGAGAGCAAAATAAAATGCATAGGAATGACAAAAGTAGACATTTTCCAATTGGAAACCAATAAAATTTCTCAATCAAATTCTTCTTTAACTTTAAATTTTTGGGAAAAATATTTTTATAAATTTTTTTTATTTTTAAATTTACACTTCATCTATTTAATAGAAATTCAAATTATTTTTACAGAAAGTCAAAAAATTCAGCAAAACAAAAGAGATTATTATTGAAGAAGAAATTTTATACAACATAAAAGTTCAAGAGGTAAAAATTAATTAATATTATTTGTAAATCTATACAAAATATGTTCATAAATATTTTTAGATACCAGAAACCACAATGGCAAACATTCAACGTGTTTTATCTATTGCTTATGATGATAAAATTCATGCTGAAAGTACACTTTATCGAGTTAAAAAAGGATCAATTGTACGTCTTACACCTGGTCCATCATTTCTTGGTAAAGAAATTGCATTATATACGAATTTTCCTGAGGAAGGTAAGAATAATAAATTTTTACAATTAATTTTTAATTGAACTCATATATTAATTTATTATTACTTATATAATATTTATTTTAGCACAATTCATTCGTACTACTTATCGGCCATTAATGTTCTATGGCAAACATGGTGAAGAATTATTACATAATGTTAATAATAATCCATATGTAATTATTTCTGATGTTGATGTTTATTGTGAAGTCAAATTAAATAGATCTGGAACATTTCGTTTTTATTTTTTACATAATCGAGATGAAATTACTGGTCTCGGTCAATATCATAATAAAGATGAAAAAAAAAATCATGGTGATGGTTCATTTTATATTCAAGTTGAACCAGAATTAATTGTAGGACCAGAAGGAGCAAAAAAAATTATACCATTAAATTCAGTTCGATGTCAAACAGTATTATCAAAATGTTTAGGACCAATAAATACTTGGGAAGCAAAATTACGTGTTGCTAAAGAATCTGGTTATAATGTTGTACATTTTACACCAATTCAAGAATTAGGTGGATCACGTTCCTGTTATTCATTGAGAAATCAATTGAAAGTTAATCCTGATTTTAGTAGTCAGGGTGAATTGATGACATTTAGTGTTGTTGAATCTGTAATTAAAAAATGTCGTGAAGAGTGGGGTGTAAGTATATAATAAAAAAATGAAAATGACTTCTTTTTTAATAAAATTATATTAATTTTTATTTTAATAGATTGCTTCTATTTGTGATATTGTATTAAATCATACCGCTAATGAATCCGATTGGTTAGAAACTATGCCAGAGGCTACATATTCTTGTTCTACATGTCCTTATTTAAGACCAGCATTTTTATTGGATGCAATGCTAAGTGATTGCGCTTTAGATATTGTTGGAGGAGCTCTCGAAAATGTTGGTGTTCCACAAATAATTCAAACAGAAGATCATCTTCAAGCATTAAAGTACCAGTTGCATACAGTTTATTTACCACGAATTGATCTGGCTCAACTTTATCAATGTGATGCAAATGCTTATACGAATAAATTTATTGAAGAAATGCGTAAACGTGAGCCACCAAAGCGTGTTGCAAAGCATGAAAGATACAATGAAGTTAAAATTAAACAAGATCCGGAATATAAACGTTTGGCTTCAACAATCGACTTTGATTTAGCATTAGAAATTTTTAATGCTTTTCGTTCAGATTGTTTCGATGAAGAATGTCGGCTAAAAAAATGTGCTGAAGAATTTAGACGGCATCTGGATGCTTTGAATGAAGCAATACGTGCAGAAATCCAAGGTTATCTTACATATGCTGTTGATAATATTCTGGCTGGAGTTCGATACGAACGTGTTCAAGAAGGTGGACCTATGATAAGAGAAGTATCTGTTAAATATCCAATATTCTCCAGATATTTCACAAAGTTCGGTATGACTGGTAAAAGTTTAACCGAAATTGAAAAGGCTATGTATGGTGAGGAAGGCAAATTCTTTATGGCCCATAATGGTTGGGTGATGGGTTGTGATGATCCACTTAAGGATTTTGCTCGGGAGCAACCAGGTCGTGCCAATGTTTATTTGAAAAGAGAACTTATTGCCTGGGGTGATAGTGTAAAATTGCGATTTGGTGATAAACCTGAAGACAACCCACGTCTTTGGAATCATATGAGAGAATATGTCGAAACAACAGCAAAAATTTTTGATGGTGTGCGTTTAGATAATTGTCATTCAACGCCATTACATGTTGCTGAATATTTGCTCGATTGTGCTCGTCAGATAAATCCAAATTTATATGTGGTTGCTGAACTTTTCACAAACTCTGATGCCACTGATAATATATTTGTAAACCGATTGGGTATAACGTCTTTGATTCGAGAGGCTATGTCCGCCTGGGATTGTCACGAGGAAGGTCGTCTTGTATATCGATATGGTGGTGAACCAGTAGGAGCTTTTTATTCATCACCGAAAAGACCTCTTGCACCAACAATAGCGCATGCATTATTCTTAGATTTAACACACGATAACCCATCTCCTGTTGATAAAAGATCCATATTTGATTTACTTCCCAGCGCAGCTGTTGTTTCAATGGCCTGTTGTGCAACTGGAAGTAATAGAGGCTACGATGAGCTCGTTCCGCATCATGTAAATATAATTTATTCTAAATTTTTAGGATTGTTGTTTAAACGAGGCTATTTTGTTATAGATTCATGTTGTAGATGAAGAACGAAAATATCAAGAATGGGGCAAAAATGTGAATTTTAATACAGGAATTATATCTGCTAAACGGGCTTTAAATTTACTTCATGGACAGCTAGCAGAAGAAGGATTTTCGCAGGTATTTTCAGTTTTTAAGGTTTATAAAACTGTAAACATCATAAAACATTAATTTAAGGTTTTCGTGGATCAAATGCATCCTGATATTGTAGCTATCACGCGACACAATCCCATTTCTCATCAAAGCGTAATATTAGTAGCACATTGTTCTTTCTCCAACCCACATCCTGATGCAGGTCCTACCTCAGTTCGTTCACTTCGCTTTGAAGGTTGTTTAGATGAAATTATATTAGAGGCTCAAATGACTCATGTTGGTGGAAAGCCTTTTGATAGACCCTATGGCTTTAAAAAAGATAATGATTACATAAATGGTGTTAATGAATACAAAGTTGAACTCAAAGAGCATATTCCACTCACAGAATCGAGAATATTTAAGAAATTTTCCGCAACTGAAGGCAATATAACCCAGCTAGATTTCGTTAATTTGAAACCTGGATCTATTGTAGCGGTTAGAGCATCAATACATGCAAACATAAGACCACATTTAAATATACTTAACCAAATTGTACAAGAGCTTCATGATGAAAAAGGAACAATTTTCAATGAATTAGAGAACATAATTTCTAAATTAGATTTAGTTGATCTGAATCGTGCACTTTTTTGTTGTGATGTTGAAGAACGTGATATGGGTTTTGGTGGAGCTGCTTACAATATACCAAATTTTGGACCAACAGTTTATTGTGGCCTCCAAGGTTTTATCTCCTTGTTAACAGAAATAGCTCCAAGAAACGATTTGGGCCATCCTCTTTGCAATAATTTAAGAGATGGAAATTGGATGATGGATTATTGTGCTAACCGTTTAAAAAACCATGATAACACAAAGGAATTAGCAATTTGGATGCAAAAGCAATTTGGAGAAATTGGACAAATTCCCCGATATTTGATACCAAGCTATTTTGATGTTATTTTAACAGGCATATATGATACTTTAGTTGCTCGATGCTTTAGTCAAATGCCGGAGTAAGTTGAATTTTTCTCTTTCTATCAATATTATTTATATTTAATCATTACAGTTTTATTAAAAATGGTACTACATTTCCTCAATCTCTTGGCTTGGCATCTCTTCAATTTCTAGCAAGGTGTAAATCTGCTGATCTTCCTAAATTAAGTCCTAACATACATCCGCCAGCAGCACCAGAACGTTTTGTAACTTTATCAGCTGGTTTAACACATTTTGCAACTGGGTACATGAGGTGTTGGGGCCGAGATACTTTTATTTCGATGAGAGGATTAATGTTGTTGACTGGTCGTTTCAACGAAGCTCGTTACATTATAATAGGATTTGGTCAATGTTTACGTCACGGCTTGATACCCAATTTATTGGATAATGGAACAAAACCAAGATTCAATTGCCGTGACGCAGTTTGGTGGTGGATGCAAAGTATTAAAGATTATGTTCATGAAGCGCCAAATGGTAAAATGATTTTGAACGACAAAGTTTCAAGATTATTCCCTACCGACGATTCAGAAACTCAACCAGCAGGAGCGCATGTAAGTATTTTTTCTTTATATAGCTAACATTTTGTTTTAATAATTTTTGCATACTTCTTATATTCATTAAAGGATCAACTGCTGTACGATGTAATGCAAGAAGCTTTAAAAATTCATTTCCAAGGTCTGGTTTATCGAGAAAGGAATGCCGGAACAGCTATAGATGCTCATATGACTGAAAAGGGATTCAATAATCAAATTGGAATAAATCCTGATACTGGATTTGTTTTTGGTGGAAATGATGCTAATTGTGGAACTTGGATGGATAAAATGGGCTCATCAGAAAAAGCTGGAAATCGTGGAAAACCAAGCACACCCCGTGATGGTTCCGCGGTAGAGCTAGTTGGTTTAGAATATAGTGTACTTAGATTTATGCAAGAAGCCAGCGAACATGGCTGGATACCATACAAGTGCGTCGAAAGAACCGGTAAAAATGGGCAAAAAACTACTTGGACTTATAAAGAATGGGCCGATAAAATTATGAAAAATTTTGAAGATAAATTTTTCATTGATATTGGTTCTGGCCAATATGTAAACAAACATAACATTTATAAAGATTCATTTGGTGCAAGCCAACCATGGACTGATTATCAATTACGTTGTAACTTCCCAATTGCGATGGTAGTGGCTCCTGAAATATTTGAACCACATAATGCATGGGAAGCTTTAGAACAAGCAAGAAAACACATTTTAGGACCGCTTGGAATGAAAACGTTGGATCCAGGTGATTGGGCATATAAAGGAAATTATGATAATAGCAATGATTCACAAGATCCTACTGTCGCTCATGGTGCAAATTATCATCAAGGACCTGAATGGGTTTGGCCAATCGGTTTTTATTTACGAGCTAGATTAATTTTTGCTAAAAAGAATGGAAAAATCCGTGAAACTGTAGCAGAAACATGGTAATAATTTGTGTTCATAAAAAAGTCTTAAAATTTATATATATATATCATTATTATTATTTTATATTTATATGTAAATTAAAAATTTAGGCACATTTTGCAAGCACATCTAAGAGAATTACAAACATCACATTGGCGTGGTTTACCAGAATTAACAAATGAAAACGGTTCATATTGTAGGGATTCATGTCGTACACAAGCATGGAGTATTGCCACCGTATTAGAGGTGATTTTAATATTATTTTTAAAATAAATATGTATATAAAATAAATAATATTTATATTTTTAATTTTAGGTTCTACATGATTTGAATTCATTTAAATCAAAGCATTAAAAATAATTATTTATATAAATATTTTTAAGAAACTTAATGTAAATCAATTATTTTTATGCAATTTTTTGAAAATAAAGATAGAATAAGATGTTTCAAAATGTAGTTGAATAAAATATTGTTCTCATTTCCAAATATTTTTTCAAAACAAAAAAAAAAATAATTTTTTTAATGTTAAAAAAAAATTAAATTATTGTGTAAAATATGTTTTTAATTCTAGATTTATAATAAGTAAATTAATTGCATAAATTATTTTTAATTTTCGAATTTATCGAATTTATTTTTGCCATGTTAACACACTATTTCATTCATTATTAAATTTATTTATTGATAATAATTAAAAAAGTTGCAATAAATATTAAATTTATTTTTATGAAATATCAAAAATTTTAAATGTTTAGTTTCTATTTCAGTTTGAGATTAGCAAGAGTCATAATTAATACTAAGTTTATTATGTTCACTTATAAAATATAAAATATAAAGCGATATATGTAATTCAAAAGGGTCTTTATTCTTTAAAGCTCCTAATAAATCAATTGAAAAATATTTTCTTACTTGATTGAATACTGCAGCAAAATTTATGAAAATTTACTTTCTATAGATATCAAGTACACATATATTTTATACATATATTAGAATGCTTTATTTATTTATGTTTCTAATAAAATTTAGTACGTCTTCGCCATAGAGAATTTAAAATGAAATGTCCAGAAAAACTGCACTTATTTATTTATAAAAAGTAAAAAGGAAAATATTTTCGATTCTGAAGAAATTCTCTTATTCAAATTTATGTATGTACTTAATTAGGAATCAAAATATCAATTTATAAAAAATCAAAATAAAAAATTTTAATTTCAAATTTTAAATAATCTAATATTTAGTTTTAAATCAAAATTTCAATAAAAATTATGTTTTTGGTAGAAATTTTTTAAATTATTTTTAGGTTTACGATTTGGCTTTTTTCTTTTTTTTGGAACCAACTTTGATGTAAAATGTAGAATGTTTTATCATTTCCAGATGTACACATGTATAATAAATCTTATATTTATAGTAAATTGCTCTGTTTTTGGAAAATGGATTCAAAATTTCTCTTTGGTAAAAACAGTAAAGATACCAAAATTAAACAATACATAGAAACTAAACAAAGAGATGTAAAAATAGCACCACCTTCGTCTTCTGATTCTGAACTTATGAGAGATAGTTATTTTTCGTAAAACAAAAATGTTGCAGAATTCTTTCCAAATCACATATCTATGGCTTAATTCCAATAAACAAATTTATTTAAAAGCGTGTTGTTGTCATGAACCATGTAACATTTAAGGAAATGTTATCCTCAATGGCTTACAATTTGTTTCTGTGGAAATATTTTCAAAAATTCAACAGATGCAAATGAAAAATACTAATTTTATAAGTTATTTCTCTTTATTACAAATTTTTTACAATAATAATTTGGTTTTCTTTTTTTCAATAAGTTGTAAATGCATCAAAAAATTAAATTCTCTCAAAATAAATAATTCAAAAACAAGAAAAATAAAAAAAATAAAATTCATCTTAAATGATGGTATTTTATTTTGAATGTTTTTCATCTTCATTGTTTTCATCAATTGATTTCAAATCCCGTCCGCCAGTCATTATTTTTAATCCAATATTCAGATCGTTCGTAAATAAATTCGTAAATATTAAAGGTTCATTATTTTTAATGCAATCTGGTAAACAATTTACATTATCATTATTAGTGAAAAGTAGGTTATAATCAAAATTATTTAAGTCTCGTTTCTCTCTATTCAATTTTTCATTATTTTCAGTTTTAGTTTCTTTTACCTCTAGTATGTCCCTTCGGATTGCTTCAATATTACTTTCAGTTATTTTTGAATTTTTAATTGATTGAATCATTACATTACTTCTTAAATCTTTAGTCATATTACTATTATTGTTATCTGATACTTTTAAATTTGTAGTATTCAGTAAATCTTTTGAAATATTTTTATTGTTAACTAATTGATTCAGATTATTGGAATCAATGTCATTATTAATTTTTGTTAATTTAGAATTATTAGTTGAATTGATTAACAATGGTAATGGTATTGCTGCTCGATTGTCTATGAAATGTGATTTTGTTTCATTTATTTTATTTAAAATTTCACCGGTTTTATAAGACAATGGTTCATAAACTTTTTCCTTTGTTTCTTGTATTTTTAATTTTTCATTTTCCTTTTCTGATTTTGAATCAGTTTTTACGATACCTGTGTTATCGTTATTTAAGATTTTAACATTTGACTCTAATTTTGTAATTTCATTACTTGTAATATTAGTTGCATAATCGGCTTTCTGTATAATTTCTTTTGAAGGTAGATTTTGTAACAACTGGGCAACTAGGGATGCTTGCGGTGGGTTGAATTTTGTTTTTACTTCGATATCAGGTGTTTTTTCAATAATTTCATTGTGATTGTGAATATTCAAATTGTTTTTAAGACTTTCATCAATTTTAGCTTGTTCATTTTTTTTCTCTTCTTTTACTTCTTCTTTAATTTCCTTTACTTGTTCAATTATGTTACTCAGTTTTTCATTAACTAATTTTTGTGTTTCTTCATTTTGCTTTACTATTTCTTGTTTCAGCTCATCAACTTTCTTTTCTAATAATTCTTTAGTTTTCTGTAACTCAGCTTCAGCTATCTCTAATTTCTTATCTTTATCTTTTGCAGCTTCTTCTGCGGCTATTTCTTCATCCTTTTTGATAGCATCTTTATCAATAACATTGTTTGTGTTAACAGTTTTAACCACGTTTGTAGCTAAAGGTGTGTCTTTTATATTTTCTTCTTTTTTAGTTTTTATAACTGAATTTTCTTTGAAATCACTAGTTTTTATTGATTGATCAAGACTACCAACATCAAGTTTATTTGGTTGAATTTTTGATGCTTTTTCAATTACCTTAGAATCATTAGTTATAACTTGGTTCGGCAGAATTGATTTTATATTTTGTGTAGCAATTTTATATTTGTCAATATTAGCTGGTTTCGGTGGTTCGGGTGACACTTTCGAACTTTCTATAGGTGGCTTCAAATTAGATAAATTACTTATTTTTTCTTCTTCAATTATTTTATTTGTTTCAAAAGGTAATTTCGGGTTTTCTTTAATTATTGGTGGGTTTTCAAAAGGAAGTTTAGGTTCTAATATATTTGCTTTCAATGAATCTGATGTAGGTATAATAGGTGGGAGTTTTGGCACAAAATTTTGTTCTATTTCCTTTTTGGCAAGTTTATCTGCGATAGATAAATCCGACTGATGAAAATTATTCTGCAAAATTACAGATCTCTCTGTTGCTTCAGTTGAAATACCAGATCGTTTTTCATCAATAGCATTTAAATTGGCGTAAGTTCCAAGTATCATTAAAAAAAATCCTCCAACTAAAACCACCTTTAAGTAAAACTTATTTAAAGTTAATATAAAAAATTAAAAAATTCAAGTTTACCTGAGCTACCGTCTTTTCAAATGTTCGAATTTTAGAGAACATTTTTAAATAAACTGAAGCCGGGAACAAAACACAAATAGCAACTCCAATTGTAGATCCAACTAAACCTATAACTAATTCTATTGACGGTATCATTAAAGCAACTAGCAATGAAATTAAAACTATTGAAACTGTGATGACTTTAAAACGTTTCTCTGGAATATAAGTTGAGGCATCTCCATGTCCCTGAAATTATTATTGATTTAACTTTCATATGTCTATGAATAAAATTCTAATTTTTAAAATATGTTACCCGTTTGTAAATTAATGAATATATGCTGACTCTGCACGGAAATATTACAAGTGGAAAACTAAATGCAACCGAAAGAACAAATCCAAGTTTTATGACCTCACTGCTTAATGTCGGCGAGAAATGTATTAAAATATTTCCTAAAAATATGACTGATTGTATTTAATGTCAAACCTAGAATGATTGTATTTTATCTAACCTGTAAAAGGAATAGTACAAAATCCTATATACCCAAATAAACCAACCATTATATAAACACATGTGCAAATTTTTGTAGACTGTTTTACAATTGAATTCATTTTTTCTAATGAATGATTTGGAACAGTTTCCATTACTTCAAACAATTGCCTAATAATTAGAAAAGATATAATTTAATTAAAGGAATAAAATTTTTTAAATTAATGGTTGCATTAATATTACATTTGACATGAACAGGCCATTGAAAATATTGGTAAACATTGTAGTATCCCATCTGGATCCCAATAAATAACTTTTTCATGCCAGTCATTAGCCATTAAATGTGCTTGAGATTCGCTTATTGCTTTTAAAACTAAACAAATATAAAAACCGATAGACGCTGTTGAAACTGCTGATAAGCTATCAACATTTCTTAATAATCCCAATGGGATTATACATAAGATAGTAACTAAATATATCAAAATATTATTTTTTTTATATGTTTATGAAATTGCAATTGTAAAATAATACCAATTATCATGACCCATGTTCTTAAATTATCACTTTCATTTAAATCTAATATTTTAGCTATTATTCTCGGTCCCAAATCACCTACGACAACAAAATAGGCTATACAAGTTCCAATCAGGTACCCAATAATGCAAAGTTCAACCATTAATTTACCAGAAGAACCAAATGCATAAAAACCTGCAACAAAACAGATAAAATGAATATTAATTAAATTTAAATAAAAATGGTAAACAGGTGAGTGCATTCATACCTAGGAATTCAAAACTCCTTCTTCTAGCTAATAGAGCTGATCTTATAAGATAATAACAGGAGATCCTAGTAACTAAATAATTTAAGACTAGCAACAAAATCGATAAAACGATCCCACACTATAAATAAAAAAAAAAATACAAAAAAAATTTCATTATCAAAAATATGGTATCTATTTGATTATTTACATATTATAGTAGCTACAAACAATATTGATATTAATTTGTTGATATTTATATAAGTATATATTATGGTAAAGATGTATGTATGTATATGGATATTTGTTTTATTTTGGCCACCACGTCATGTTTTCATTTTAAAGTGTGTAGTATTATTTCAAATTAAATAATTTTTGTTTTCAAATTTGTCAATTATCTTGCTTACCTTGTGAAAACAAAAGGGCATGGCCAATATTCCTACTCCAATAATACTATTGGCTAGGGTCATTACATGACCCATATTAGTCATTAACATCTTTGTTTTTGTTTACTTTCTTCTTCCTCAATATGTGGGTAGATATGTGGTATTATTTGCTGATTTACAACTTTACAACACCACTTTTTTTTTATATTATGTATGTATATTTCTTTGAAATGTTATCCAAATATCACAAAAATCTTTTAAAGATTTAAAATAGAACTGCATAATTTCCCATTTAAAATATTTGAATATTGCAAAAATAAAATTACGCAAATTTATTAATTAACATACGAACGCAAAAACGTAAGCAAAAAAAAAAGGGAAAGCTTTTTAAAGATGTGCTATTTTCCTATTTTCTAAAGGTAAAAATTTGATGATTTTTGATTGCAAGTTACCTACATACTTGTATTATAATTATGTAGAATAGGTAATAAGTATACATATTGTCATATTTATTAAATTTTTTTGTAAACAAACAAAATTCTACTAATCTATGTTAGCGTCATCTTACAAAAAAATTTAAAACTAATTGTATTGAAAAATTACTTTTTAAATGTCTCTCTGCTGTTAAAAAGAAAATATAATTTGGTTTTTGAATTTTTATGGAATTGTTCTTTTTAGGTTTAATTGATATATTCGGCTTCTTCACTTGCCTTAGTAAAAAATAGTACAAGCGTCTTTTCTATAATTTGATTTTTTTTTACCGAAAACTATTATTAATTTATTTACAAGTTGCATTAATTTTAACATATTCTTCGACATTATAAAAGAATAACTTAGTTATTCGTTAATAAAATTATTTTATAATATTAAATTCAAATGTGAGAATGATAACATCATGTAAATAAAAATATATAATAGGGAAAGAGTTTTTAGGAAACAGGGCTAGAAATAAAATCTTAGCAACAATCTAATATATTAGACGGTATTAAAAAAATTTATTTATATTCGAAAAATTTAAAATATATTACTGTATCCAATACTTGCCAATAGATGGCACAATATTAGCGATGCTATCTGAATCTTTTTTTTCATAATTTGTCAATCTATATTTGACAACCGGAAACTTGTTCTTTTCTTTCTGGACATTTATATTATAAAAATGGCTGAGGTAAATATTCAGAAAAATTTCCATAAAATTCTATATCATCGATTACAAAGTATTTATTTTGACAACGAAAATTAATTTTACTAAATGTCGGCTTTTGTTGAAATCTAAAATTTATAACTTATAATTAAAATAAATCATTTAAATGAATTTTGTTTTGATTTGGATCCCCGGTTTAGGTTGATGAAACTCAAAAAAAGAAGCGTGCCTTCAGGAAATTCACCTATAGAGGTGTTGATTTGGATCAACTTCTTGATATGCCAAAGTAAGTATATTAAAGTTATATATTGACCATATCGAAATTGACACAATTTGCTTTTGTTTATTTATAGTGACCAACTCGTAGAATTAATGCATAGCAGAGCTAGAAGACGTTTTTCTCGTGGTCTTAAACGTAAACCAATGGCTTTAATTAAGAAATTAAGAAAAGCTAAAAAAGAGGCCCCACCATCTGAAAAACCAGCAATCGTAAAAACACATTTGAGAAATATGATTGTAGTTCCCGAAATGGTCGGTTCAATCATTGGTATTTATAACGGGAAGACCTTCAATCAGGTAATTGATTTAATGAAGATAAAATAAGTTTGGATATTAATGGCAGGAATTTTTTTTTTTTTAGGTTGAAATCAAACCTGAAATGATTGGACATTATTTAGGAGAATTTTCATTGTCATATAAGCCTGTAAAACATGGTAGACCAGGTATTGGTGCTACACACAGTTCAAGATTTATTCCACTTAAGTAAATGTTGATAATGATTTTAATAAAATAACTAAACAAGAAATATGCGAGTCGCTTCATTCTTTTAAATTTTTGTAATGTGGTTCAAGGAAATGAAATAAATAATCTACATGTAGTCTACAAAAAAATAAATTGCTCATATGGGAGGTTAACGCAGCATTTATATCTAAAAGAATTAACAGTTATGGAGAACGGTCAAAAAGAAACTTTTTTATTAGTTTAATTTCATGATCTAACTACGTATGTATATGACTCAACAAAAAAAAGAAAATGGGTAAAATTTATTAGTTAGCTACGCATTGATCCATGGATCTTGAAAAAAATTACTATACTTTCTACTTGAAAAAGTAAATATAATAAAATTGTGACTAAAGGTAATAGAGTATAGCTAATATGGTTTTAAATCACAATAAAACTAGTTTCAGTGGGCTAGTATGCCAAATTTTCACATAAATTATCTTAAAGAGTGGTGAAACTTTTGAATTTAATGCGTATGTACTTTGTTGTTGTTGACGTATTTTCAGGAACTAAGCCAAATGAAAATTTGAAAGGTTCAGAGGTACAATGCTATTGCTAAGAGATCATTAATTTGAGAGATAGGTAACTTGGAATTGTTAACTGTAAAGTATTTAAAAGATTTTTAGGAAGATATGTTGGTGATCGTTTAATATTTTTGAAGTGTTTTCCTGGAAATGCTTAGAGATTAATAATGTCTTGCACAATGAATGTAGATAATTTAAATTTATCCCTTATGAAATTTAACAGAACGTTATAGCAACAAATATTAATGTTAAAATAACTAAACAATTAAAGTAAGCTTCCAAATTTTCATTCTGTCTCAAACTTTGGTTCAGTAAATTGGTTGAGTAAGGTGAAAAGTTTAATTAATATTTAAGAAATAGGAAAAAATTCAATGGAAAAATTGAGTACTGAATCTTATAATTTTAAAAGCTATTTAATTTACGTTCCACAAAAAAATAAAAATGCCATGTATTTGTAATTCATTCATCACTAGACTATTTGAATTTTTCACACCCCTTTCATGGTTTAAAATCTTGATCAACTTGGTTTTATTAAATGGGAACTTGAACGTTTTGGACGAAAATTTTGAAGATTTCCATAGAATTATATTTTCAAAATGAAGGCCATTTTCAGATCTTTGTCATTTGTTATGAAAGCATATTTGATGCACAACATTATAAAGTAATTGCATACATTTATCCTACCAATACTCTTGTTAAGGCGTACTTAAGCATGAGGCTAATTAAATGTAGTTTTGCTATTTCAAAAATAAAACATCTAATTTTCAAGCATAAAAATTTTATTATTTTTTTTTTGTTGAATGTTTTAAAAATTTATTTCTGTTGAATTAACTAAAAAAAAATATTTTTTAAAAAAACTAACACAATAAAAATTTTCTTTTATAATAGAAATAGTATATTAAAAAAAACTTTAAATAATAATTATTTTTAAAATTAAAATAAATAGTAATTATTGAAGAAGAATTTATTTTTTAGTTTTATTTAAATTACTATTGATAGTATTTATTCTATCATAGGGTGTATCTTTCATTGTTGATGTACTAGATGGGTAAATTTCATTAAAATTTTTTTTACGTGCACCATATTGAGTTTGTGTTGTTTGTGTAGTTGTATTTGCTGTTGATATTATATTTTGTTTTGTTGTTGATGTTGATATTGTTGAAAATTCTTTATTAATATTTGAATAAATTTGTGGTTGAGATTTGGTTTTTTTTAATTCATCATTTTCACCAGAATAATTAATTGTCTTTAAATTTTTATTTATTAAATATTTTTCATTATTAAATTTTATATTATTTGTTGTAGAAATATTATTAGTAGTAGTTATATTAACTCTATCATAGGATCCATAACCACTGTCTTTATGTAAATTAAAATTTTTATTTAATTGTGTTAATTTTGTGTTGCTATTGTCAGTTTTTTGTTTGCTGTTGTTTTGAAACTGTTGCTCCTCTGTTGTGTTGTAAGTTTCTTGATTGTTGCTGTTGTTGTTGTTGTATTCTGGAACCGAAATTGTTGCAATTGATTTAAAAGCACTCATTAAACCAAATTTTGATACATTATTACTATTTATATTATTATTACTATTACTATTATTAATAACTGCATTTAAATTAACATTATTGTTATTTTTTTGGCTATTTATATTAATTGTATCTGAAGCAGAAAGAAATTGATTTTGTTGTTGTTGTTGTTGTTGTTGTAGTTGTTCTAGTGATTGCTGTGATTGTTGCTGTTGTTGTGTATTATTAAAATTATTTATATTTTGATAAAAATTATCATTATCAATATCAATATCAATTAATGTCATTGTTTTTGTCGATGAAAATAAATCATTTGTTGAAGATTTAAAATTTGAATTTTTAAAATTGAATATTTTCTTTAAAGAATCTGATCTGGTACGTTGTAAAGGTTTTGTTGTCCGTGATATTGCTGTTGTTGTTGTTAGTTTCATATCATTATTTATACTGTCATTATTGTGATTTAATTTTTTGTTAGTCATATAAATAATATTATTACTATTGTCTTGTGTGTCAGTTAAATTTGGATCGGAGAGTGTATGATAGAGTAAATTGCTATTATTATTGTGAAATTTATATTTATTGTTATTACCATTATCATTAATATTATTATTATTATAATTATTAGAAATAGAAAATGTGCTAGTAGTAGTATTTGGTGCATTACTATTATTATTACTATAATTATAATTAGAAGATACAAATTGTTTAATTAATTGTTGATTTACCATTTTTTGTTGTCGTTGTATTTCCATTCCATCATCATCTAATAGATTATCATCAAAATTATTAAAATCTAATTGGTATGGATTACCTTCACTCATTATTAAATTATTTCGACTGCCAAGTGTTAATAAACTGCTATTTAAACTTTGTCCAGCTGTTGTAGCAGTTGATAAATTACTTAGACTACGATAAATAGTGCCCATTTCACTGGGTCCCTGTTGTAATTGACCAGTTCTAGGATCAAAATGTTTTTGTGAAGCGTCTTTTATTGTTGTATTAATAGTTTTTTGACGAGCTTTTTCAGCTTCATTTTCGGCTCGTACCGATGATATATGACCAGGTACTGGTTCACGTGATACCGATGATGATGGTGAAGCAGATGCACTACCCGAATCCTCTTCCTAATAAATAAAAATTAAAATTTATAATAAATAATAAATTAATGGAAAAATTTAAATTAAAATTGTGAGAAAGAAGTCGATGAATTATATTGCATTTGTTGAAGTTTACTGATGTGGGAGAGAGGAAGGTCATACATTTCATATTTTTTTTTTATACTAACCTCTTCATCTTCCATAATAACTGAAGATTCAATCCAATTTTTTATACGAATTTTTTTCTCTCGACGATCTACTGTTGTTTCAATACCTTGTTCAGCTAAAGACCATAATACACGATTTTTTTCTTCTGGACTACTATGAAATGAATACATTGATGGACATAATTCATCTGGTTCAAATTCAGCCATATCTTTTTCAGAACCTTTTGCCAACCATCTATCATCAAGAAAACGATTTAATTCAATTAAAGTTTTTGGTCTTCTGTCCGGTCTGGGCTCTAAAAATTTTCTAAACATTCTTGATGCTTTTGTTGTTAATAATTTAAATAATTTTGGTGTTCGCCTTAAAGGAATCATCATATTAATATTTTGCCATGCTAAATAACGTGCATAACGTGGATCATCTGTTGATGCTTTCTGCCATGGTAAACAACCAGTTAAACATACGAATATTACAATGGCAAATTGCCAGACATCATGACTAGGTAGCGCTCTTAAAATAAATGAAAATAAATTTTATTTTTTTTATTTTATTCTATTGTGTTATTATGTATTTATGTGCAAGTAAATAACTGTTCTTATACATGTACATATATGATTTTATTCTAAAAAAATTTTTAAATTTAAAAAATCTTATTAAATTATTAGATTTTTTGCATTTAATAATGATTTTGAGTCTTTTTCGAAAAATTAATTTATAAAATTTATTAGGAAATTTACTCATATGTTCCTTCCGGTTGTATTTGTAAAACTTCTGGTGGACTGTATGGTAGCCATTCATTTCGTCGTTCAACAATTGAACCAGTTTTATAAGATTCACCAAAATCACATAATTTAACACGAGAAAAATCTGATTTATAAATTAATACATTGTCTAATTTAACATCTCGATGAACAATTTCTCTGGGAAAAAAAATAGAAAAAATTATAAAATTAAAATGGAGGTGAAGAATATTAAAATATTGTCATAGTTTTTGATTGAATGAACAAATCAGGGATTAGAAATATAAACTTAATTTCAATTTAATTAAAATTATAATTAAATTAATTCAGAAAACAATGATTAATACTACATGAAATATACACTTTCAATGAAACTGTGAAGTTTTTCTGGAAAAAGAAAATAAAAGTATAAGCTTTTATGACATAAAAGACTCGTTCTCGAACGGGCCTGATGCAGAGAGGCTGGTGTAGTTGATGATCGTACGTGGCGCATTTTAAAAAGTTATAGGTTGCTTAATCGAGTTTGGTCGTTCAAATTTTATACTAATAGTTGGGGTGCTCAATATGGATATTTACCTAAAATGGATGGGCAAAATGGAGAGTATATATGTATATTGTACCGCTTCTTAGGAGAATAAGATGACGAAGCATCTACTGTGTGAATGTGAGGCTGAAGTATATTTCTGGGGTTTCACAACTCCACCCTGACACAATATTAGATTTGTAAGATACATAAATAACTTTATACTTACTAAGGTAACAACAAAATTTCTAAAATTACATATTTATTTGGAATTGGAAGTTTGAGGTTATATTAGTATATCAGTACATATTTACTGTAAGTAAAATAATGCAATTTTCTTTAAAATATTCTGCAAAAAAATTTTTTTTTTATATTTTATTCTATTGTTATTGAATAAATTTAAATTTTCAATTAAAAATAAAATTACTTTTCTTATAACAATTGTAATATCTACAGGTTATAGGTACGGTTACCTATTTTTTCATTCTATACGTTTCGGTACCTAGATTTTTATAAAATCATTTTCATAATCTAGTTCATAGGTAACAAAATATTTTTGATGAAAAATGTATAACAAAAAGAAAAATATTTGTAAAAGGAAGAGGCATGGATGGAATGAAGTCATTTCGGAAAAACAAAAAACTTTTGTAATTAAAAAAGGAAACATTGAGATTTTTCATGCTAATTAGGTCAAAAATTTCATTTTCTATATTAAAATATTTTAATAAAGAATGGAAAAAAAAAATTCTTTTTGTTTTTTTTTTTTAAGATAGAAATTGTTATGTATAAGGGGCAGGACAACAAAAGAAAAATAGAAATTTTTCCACAACAAAATTTTGCATACAAAATATTTTATTTTTTGTTTTTTTTTTTTTTTTTGTTTCCACAAAAACATCCTGATGTAAATTCTTTAAAACTTCTATAGTTTATTTAGTGTTGGATGAATTTGTGTATATGTATGTGTGTTGTCTATGGATAAAATTCATTTATCCTTCTGTACTATTTTATAGGTTATTTAGATTTTTTTTTTGTTTAACTTACTTTGCATGCATATAATCTAAGGCTGATGCAATTTGTTTAGCAACTCTTTTACTATGAAGTTCACCAATTCCGCTATCAGCTACATTTGATGTGAGATCACCTGAAAATTTAAACAAAAAGAAGAAAGAAAAGAAAAGTTGAAATATAATAATAAAAAATTGACTAGGAAAATCATGTTATTTTGATATTGTATATATGTACAGGGTGTCTGAAAAGTTCCCGTACTTTTAAAAATACTAATTTTTCTCGTTATAATCCTGGTTTGTTTTCAATTTGGTTTCTGTTAACTGTGTGTTTATTTTTTGTTAGCCTAGAAATGAATCGCAATAACAAGCGCATTACTTTTATAGAATTACACAGGTCAGTTATGAAGACAGCTGAGATTGTAACGACTGGTTACAAAAAAAATTGCTGTCTATGATGCCATAAAAAGTTGCCAGGAGTTGGTGAGCACATCGAACTATATGATACAATTACCATCGAACAGTGCACGACCATTATCAACAATTTTACAAAGCGCGTCTGTAAAAGCGCGTCGTTTACATGTATTACTGCAAATATAGCTAATTTTGAGCAGTTTTTGTAAATTTTTTATTGAATATTGTTATTACTACTCTAACAAAAATCTCTGACCAGTTAACAATGTTGATTTCTTAATTTATGTAGCAGTTCTAAGCTGTAAAATTATTTTAAAAAAAAGTACGAGAAATTTTTAGACACCCTGTCAAATGTAATGACACCATGGAAATTCAATGTAATTGGGGTATCAGTAGAATGAAATTTTCTATATCATTTACTATCTCATGTACTAATGAAATTCCTTGAATAGACAAAATGTACTGAATATTCACTAGAATGGATTCGCAGTTTCTAGTTCGCTTTTCTATAGGTCTAGGTAAGAGCTTTGAATAAAATTACAGTCATAAAGGATGTGGAACAAAATAATTTTATAAGTATATAGGCTAAAAATTCTGAATTATTCTAATAATTATAATTTTTTCTAATTTCTGCATTATTCTAATAATAAATATTAAGAAAATCTTGTGTTCAATTGAAAATTAAACCTAAATTTTTGTTTTCTTTCAAGTTTTTAGTGTGATGACGAGCTCATTAACTGAGAATTATTTTCTTCTTTTGTTTGGAAGTGCTGTTAAATTTTGGAATAAGGTCGACAACATCAAAATATATGTCAATATTCACTCTTATCGCTGTAAAATAAATTTACTTTTAAATTAAATTCAAATTTTTTTATATATTTTAAGCTTTGTCTATACATTAATCATTGGTTGTAGGAATGGTGGTCCGATATTAGGCATATAGGGTGCTTAAACAAAATTGGTTCATATTGAACCTCTTTAAACTTTTTAATCCTCTTCAAATTTTTTGGATAGGATTGAAAGCAAAGAGATGATTTAAATTTAAATTAAAAAGGTTTTCTTTTAGACACACTCTGTATTGCAATGGTATGCCATTACTACTTCTTTAAATGTTAACAATATTGTTTGCATGCTTTTTCTTTGTTCTAGCATACTACTTTTTTTTTTTTTTCATTTAAAATTTACAAAATCTTGTATGCACTCTAAAATATATACATAATAAATTTTTCTATATATTCGTACACTTTATAAAATTGGAATACATTATGAAAACTTTATTTATGTACATTAAGTTTAAAATTATGTATAACATACTTAAATAACTTACCTAAAGGAGCATATTCCTGTGTGAATATATAAAATCCAGCCGTTTCAAATGCAACATCATATGTAGTCACAATATTTCTATGTACACCCAAATGTAAACCAAAATGGAATTCTCTATAAAAATCTCTAAGTGATACATATGGTTTTGGTAGAGCTTTTAATACCATTTCAGTATCGGTGGCACGATGTTCAACCAAAAGTATTTTACCAAACCATCCTTCACCAACAATTTGTAAAATGTCAAATTCATCAGATAAAATTATCTATTATGGGTGTATATAATAGAAAAAACAGGTATTGGTTGTTGTTGTTGTTGATTTCATTGTTGTTATTACATTGTTGATATTTTCCACATTTTGCATAGTTGAAATTACACAATTTGTAAATTAATATACAATATTTAAGTATAATGTATATAATATTAACAGCATTGATGAAATATGCAAATGAATCAAAAAAAAGAAAGAGAAGAAAATAATTAAAAACTTTGAGAAAATTTCGATAATATTAAAATTTTTTTATGAATTTTAAAATTATTGTAAAATTGATGTTAAGCATAATTGCAATAAAAAAACTTTAAAATTTTAATGTAGAACAAGAAAATCAGAAATCAAAATTTAGAGAATAAAGAAAAGAAAGTAAAAAAAGCAGAATAAAAATTTGACTTAATATTACAGAAGCTTAACATAATATTGACGTAAGCGATATTGAATAAAAATGTCTCTTAACCTCAAAGGTTCATAATATACCACATGATAATGGTATATATGACATACAATTTCTCTCCTTCTCATAGGGAATAGAAAAATATTTTTTTAAGAAATTTTAAATTTAAGAATTGTTTTTCATTCGTTTACTCTTTCTCATGATACACTTAAAGTATTATGTAAAAGAGAATAATATTTAAATTTCATATGCTCTCAGAGTATATTACAAGAGTATTTAAATGGGAAATTTCTCAAAAAATATTTTTATAAATTTATTTTTAAAATGGAGAATTGCTTGAGAATAATCCTCATATATTATCAATGAAATATAGAGTAAGTGAAAATGTAATTTATGACCATAAATGCTTTGAATAAATTTAAAATTTTGTATATAATTCTAAATTAGACTGAAAATATTTAAAAAAAAAACTTGTGGTATTACTCTCTAATATTAAGAGAGTTAGTTACGGTGTATTTTCGAAATTCAATAAAAAATTTCTTAAAATTTACAGCAAATTGTGATTTAAATTACACATTAACACCTCTTATATTAAGTATTAAATTAAGTATTAAACACCCCTTATATACGTGATCAGTGTTTAATAGCGACACCACTATAAGAACTCGCAATTTTGATAGCATTTCGATGATAGCTATAGACAAAAGATTTAGGTCAGTAAATAGACGAATACTCGTATAAATGCGTTATATATTTTGAAAAAAAAAAAATATTTACTATTAGTATAAAATACAGGTTAAAGAAAATTCTAATTCCAAACTTTTATTTTCGGGACCATGTGATTGCGTTGTGGAAGATCAAGTTTCCGGGGTGGCTCAACAGAGTTTTATTATATGCATGCTCATCTTATCTCCCGGGACACAATAACCATCCAGATGGGCATTTGAATGATCTAGTGAATATGCATGGAAGTAAGAATTTTCAATTAATAATAGGAAGTAATAGCTATACCTCACCGTCTATGGGAGATTACTGGTATATATGAATGACGTGAATGCTTACTTAAATTTATATGTAGTAGTAAATTAACAAATCTGACTGAAGGAAATAGATCAGCTTTTTGTAAATGCGAGATCAGGGGGAAGATCCATTGATATAATTTTATTCGCTATGACGTTATCAGTAATTGTAACGAAATTTTTATTTATTAGTTTTTAAAATTTATATATTTATAGGTTCTTGAAACTCAATATATGGTAATAAAATTAATTAAAATAATTTTGGAATAGTAGATTGTAATTTTCGCGTAACGTTTCTTATTGAACTTGAAAATCTGGGCCCTGTTGGAACAACCATTTTTACTTTTGTCTTTACTTCTAAAATTTTTTCATAAAAGTACTTTTTTTTATTAGTATAAATTAAATAGTGTTATCTCTATTGGTATAACAGAAAAGTGAAAAAAATGTTTTTGGTGCAATTGAGGGCCTGGTCGCATTAATCATTAAAATAAAAAAATTTCCTCTTTCATTGTTAAAAATATAAATTTCAATTTAATTATTTATAAAACTAATTAAAATAAATAATTTTCTTAAAAACAAGAAAATGACAAATTGTCCCACTTTTTTTTTCTTTTACTAAAATATTTTCTAATAATTCTTCGGTAAAAAAAAATTTTTGTATCAAAAGCATTATTTGAATTATTCTTTTATTATTTTTCTCTTGTTTTTCCCATAAAACATACTATATTGTATTTTATATTTTGTATTATATTTAATTAAGTACAATATTTTTATATTTCATTTAAATAATTTTCAAAAATTTAATTGAAATTTAAGGATACAAATTGCATATAAATATGTAGAAAAAAAAAGAGGACAAGAGAATTTTAACGCTGCAACATTAATTAAAATAAAATGAATTTTAAAATATGCTTTTCTCTTTCCATATATAATATATATATATATATATTGCATATGTAAGAAAAGAATAATATGCACTTAAAAAATTTTTCGAATTAAAAATGATCTGCATGAAATTTATATACAAAATATTTTAATATACAAAATTTGTAACAATTTTGTTTTTTTTTTGTTTTCATCTTTATACTATTATCCTTTTTGTGTGTCCTTCTAATTTGTCATTCAAAATTTAACATATACATAATATATTATATTTTGTATATATAGGGTGTTTCGCATATGGTAGCAAATAATTTCAGGAATGATTCTTTGATCAATTTCCAGCAAAAAATTATATGAGTGGCGGGGAGGGATGTTTGCAAATATGCTCGTTTTCGAGCCACAGCCTGTTGAAAAAATAGGGTACCGAATTTTTCTGCATATATAGTCTTACAGGCTATGATTGTTCTTTATTTTTGGTCTTACAACAAATTCGATTTGAGCCATAGTTTTCGAGATACACCTCGTGAAAGTCAGAATTTTTGCTTTTTTTTTTTTTGGAATTTTTTTTAAAAACTCGAAATTTCTCGAAAATTTTTGTAATTTTTTTTTGTTTTTGTTTTTTTTTTCTATGCGCCACGATAAAAGTTAAAAATTAATTCAAGCTTTAAAGAATCATCCGTGAAATTTCCGTGAAACATCCTGTATAATTAGATTCATATACAAATATATGAGAAAAGTGAATTTCAAAAAGAAAATTATACTTTAGAATTTAGATAATAATCAAATTATTTAGAGTACATTTAATGTATACATAAATACGATTACATATATATATACGAGTATATTATATACATACATACTTAATAAATTATTCTTTTCATTTATATGTAAAAAATTTGACTGAAAAATTATTTTGCTTTATTTCTTGTTCAGTTTTTGTTATAAAATAAAAAAATTCGAATGCAGTAAATGCAATATGTAAAATTGCATTTACCCTATAAATATGCAATTACATTAAAATTTTTAAAATTTTTTTATAAAATCTTCATATAGCTAGCTGTAGTTTAGTTATCAATCATAGATAATGTACATTTTAATGGGCATTCTGTATTAGTAGAATTTGTAGATCAATGTTGTGGTTTATGGCTCTAAAAATTGAATATGTTCCATTTGTATCGCATCATAGAAATATTTAGAAGAAGCAAAAGAATATTAAAAATTTTTATTATTTCATTGCATAAATTATAATATTTAATATTGTGAAAAATATTTGTTTTTAGTATTCTTCAGGGATTTCATAATTTATAAGAAAAACCTTTTGAATTAAGGAATTAAAAGATTTTTTGAATTTAGTTGTAAGTGACATGATGAAAAGTGATATTGATATTTTCATTTAGGTTATTTGAATTAAATATTTTTGAAATTTTTTCTAATTTACCAATTGTAAGAATTTTTAAAAAAAATTAAATAGAAAATACAATGATAATAAATTCTAAGTAAATATTTGAGCGGTTTGAGTACCATATCTGAGAATAATTATCAAGTGCTAATACATGATCATGAGAACTTACTACTGGTTATTTAGACCCATTACATAAATTTTATTTGGCACATAATTTAAATTTATAACTCTTTTATTCTCTCAAAAAATAGGCGGCACTTAAAATCCTCCGGGTTTCAATTGCTTACATATGGATTTGAATTTGATTAGGTATAACCATAGAGAATATTTTTTTTTTATTTTACATAAATTAACATTTATATAGCTTTATACTATGTACAAAAAACATTGCTTTAAGCTTTATAAAACAAAAAAAAAAAAAATCATTTAAATTAAAAGTCATTTACTCTTTTCTCTAGTAGTGCAATAGTCGAGAGATTTTCCAATTGAAAAGGAATAATTTCATCACCCTGAAAGTAGAGATTTGAAAAAATTTTGAAAAAAAAAATCTAATAATTATAAAATAGAACACGAAAATAGAATTCTTTTTTACTCTACTCTGCACTCTTTATTAAGATTCACGCTGGAAAATTAAGAATTCTTCATTAAAGAAGATTACAGAATAGTTAATTGCACTTAAAAATAATAAGGAATTGCAAATTATATGGCCAATACAATATGGTGATGATATATACGAGTATAAGACAATAACATAATAAAATTTACAATTAACGAGTTAGATAATAGGGTTAGAGTGGCAAAAATGAAAAGCGACTAGCGTTAATTTAGCATTTTTATTTGTTTTTATATTATTTATATGTGTATTGCTTGTAAGAGTTGCAGTTTTGCTAAAACAGCTGTGAGCTAAGCAGAAAGACTATTTTTTTACTAGAAAATATGTAAAGGTAGCATTAATTAAGTTTCTTCAATTAAAAGCTTTCCATTGTAGATCTCAATTTTTTTATGATTCGATGAGAAAAAAAAATTGAGCTAAAACTTTCATATTTTGTGGACTTGACTTCTTATCGATAGACGGCAGGGCGGTGTTGTTAGCACTATAATCGAATCAGGTTACATTTAAACTGATTTGGGGTTGAGTGCTCGCACTGGTGCATTTGGTATCAACAAGCAGAGTAATGCTCATTTGGTTACCGGAGCACAGGGAAAACGTGATTTTTAACGATTTGGAGCTGGGGAAATCTGAGCCATTAAGGATCCACTTAACGCTCTGTTTGAGGGGGAAATAAAATCTTTC